ATAAACATCATGTATAGTAAGGCCATAAAAATCATAGTCTAGCTATAGAGAGTATAGTTATCTTATAGGCATAAAAGAAAAGTACACTTTTAAAAAGTCATAGTAAGTAAGGTACTAAAAAAAGTCATAAAAACGAATAGTTATAGTAAGGCATAAAAAGTATAGTATAGTAAGACATAAAAAAGTCCTAAAAACGACATAGTATAGTAAGGCATAAAAGCGAGAAGACATAGTATTAGTTAATAAGGTAAAAAACAGTCCTAAAAAAAATCATAGTATAGTAAGGCATGAAAAGTCATAGTAAAGTACAATAAGGCATAAATACATCAATAAATGTCACGGTACAGTCTTGCTTAAAAACATCAAGAAAACATCATAGTATAGTTAGGTATATAACTTCATAGTTTACTACGTTATTATAAATGTTAAAAAATTTCATAGCATAGTAACAGATATAACGTCATAGTATAATAATGCATAAAAAAAATTAAAAATTTTATATTATGATAAGGCATCAAAACGTCAAAAATGTCATAGCATTGTAAGGCATATAATGTCATAGTGTAATGAAGAATAAAAACATCAAAAATTGTCATAGTATAATAAGGCATAAAAATGTCAATAAACGTCATAGTATAGTAAGACAGTAAAACGTCAAAAACTGTCATAGTGTAGTAAGGCATAAAACATATAAGTACAGTCATGCATAAAAACGTCAAAAAACGTCATATTATAGTAAGCCATGAAAATGTCCAAAACCATCATAGTATACTAATTCATAAAAACATCAACAAACGAGTATAGTATATAACTTCATAGTTTACTAAAAAATGTCATCGTATAATAAGGCATAAAAATGTCAAAAAACGTCATAGTATAGTAAAGCATATAACATCATAGTATAACAAGGCATCAAAACGTCACAAAATGTTATTGTATAGTAATGCCTAAAAATGTCCAAATACAATATAATAATAATACAATATAATAAGCCATAAAAACATTACAAAACGTCATTGTACATTAAGGCCTTTCTCTTCTGTCTCTGATTCAGTCTCTCACGGCTAGTACCCATCTGCCCATAGCATTTGTTGGTTTGGTTGGTTAGTTTTATGCACAAGGATGACAGATCGTCAGTGATAGGGTGAGAGAGAGCGGGGCGGGCCAAGCAGCGAGTCTTTTCACAGACAAACAGACACTTTTTTGGGGAGGGGGGGTTCTTTCATTTGTGGTGAAACAGGAAACATAAAGGATGAGATATAGTTATTTTTTATCATTATTCTTTCTTTCATCCTTTTGTTCTCATGCGCTATACATTTTTCAAATATTATATATTTTTTTGTAGGCTACCAAAGCCTTTGTTTAATAGTACGTTAATAAATTAATAAGTAAAGTTTGAGTTAATAAGTTGATTTCAAGTTTAAGTTAATAAGTTGTAAATTGAATAGCTACTAGTTTATTTCATTATGCATACATTACTTTATCTGCTTTTCCACTTAGGATTTGTGTTTGCAGATTATATTTAAAAATTTGCACTGTGAAATGATCTGACGATAATCTGCTGTTCATGTTCCTCCAAAAACTTTTTTTTTTTTTCCAAAACTTTTTTCATGGTCTCTCTGTCACACTCTGATGTTGGCCTAATGTACTCAGCTATGATAAAATGACAATTAGAGAATCCTGTTGAGTTATAATAAAGAGATGGAGATCATTCCTCAACATTGACTGAAGTAGAATTTATTTTGGAGTTTCTAACTTAAAAGCTATTTATATAGCTTATTTCTAAAAACATTGTTAATAAAGCACTTCAAACTTTAAGTATGAATCTTAATACTTTATTAAAACAATGTTTTAAGTTACGATTTACCACAACTAGCGCCCCACCCCAACCTTGGGCCAGCAGTGATCGGGCCCACGGAGCGGCGCCCCTGCTGGGGGGGCATCCTTTATTTTGCTGCATGGAAGGTGGCAACCATAATAGTAAGGCATAAAATGTCATAGTAAGTCACCAATGAACCTTATGTGCATGTCTTTGGACTGCAGGAGGAAGCTGGAGTACTCGGAGAGCTCTCACACAGTCACAGGGAGAACACGCAAACTGCACATAAAAAGGCCCCAGGCCCAGGGTTCAAACCAGAACCTTATCTCTGTGAGGTGGCAGTTCTAACCACTACTCCACTGTGCTGCTCATAAATGGTTAAATAACATCGGTTGACATTTTTCTGGTGAGGTTAGGTATCACTGTGATATTTTCACGAGGTGAGCCTTCAAAGAGCCCCCGTCCTTTCAGTCAATCAAATGCTAGCATGCCTAAATCGGTTGTCTTGGAGACGTAGCCTCTTGGATGGCACATTGGAATGACCTAATATGACTTCGCTGCAAACATAGTGAGAACGAGTTCATGAAATCTTGGTAGGGATAATTCTGTCCTACCAAAATATGCAAACCGACGCCCCTGTGTCATTGACATGATGTGCAAATGAGCGATAGAAAACCAATTGCACCACGGTAACAATTTTTTTTTTTTTTTCTTTGCAGGTGCCCTAGATGTCGCCCGTATCTACATTGCCGTTGTTTATTTTGAAAAACAACACATCTCAGATTGGCTCTGGAACATGACAGGACAACATTATTTTTATTTTAAAAGAGGCTAGAGTACACCGGCTCTTATGTAAAAAGAAATGAATGCGTCTTTGATGAACACTAACATAAACAACCAGCATTGAGAATAAATAAAGAATTTTAATGTACATTTATATACTGTAAATGTATCCAGAATACATGTAGTAAACATAATTGTACACAGTAACAGGATATACTTTAACTTCCATACTTTGACTGATATTTCAAGTGTGCAGATCAGTTATAGCATCAGATATGTTGCACTGCTTTGTGGAAGATGGAAGAATATTCAAAGAATAAACAGCATAGAAGTTATCTGGAAGAATCCCATCATGCAGTGCAGTATATTGCAGAGAACTTTGGTATGTTATCAACCAAAACAAAGCATGTTAGTTAATTTACAAAATCAGAGAAAACAGCATCTGGATCCATGTGGATGTCAAACACATTTCCCCACAGTTCATTAGTCTGATTCCTTCTAAACTAGAATAAACAAACCACACCTGTTTCTACTTCTCTTCAAATCTGAACTTTGTGACAGGTTCACTGAGATATTTTGTCATTTCTTCATCGTGACTGAAATGAGACCATATTTAGGATTACAGTTTGATCCTTATTCTCTGATCAGATATTTTTTGATAATAAATCTTTACATTATGGAGTCTGTGCTGGCACTAGTATTGTATTGACACCAACATCCAAATATTTAAAATGATTGATATTGATAAGCTTCATTTATGGACAGTAAGAGCAAATGTAACAGATGAGAAAGTCAGTTGTGTGACAGCTGCCTGTTTAACCCAAAGACATCAGACTGGAGTTTCATTAATTTCACAGTAACTGCTGGTTTTAACTCTTAAGTGTCTATTGTGACAATCAGAAACCAGGAGTCAAACCTGTTGACTTGTGAGGTGTTAACATGTTTAGTTTCCATCCATCAGATATGGCCACCAGGTCTACTGAATGGTCTGGATCATTCAGGTGACGTCTGAAGAGAGACGGCTGATCTAGTTTCAGATCTAAATGCTGTTTTCTCTGCAGTTGAACAGCAGCTGGAGAACAACACGACACTGCAGCGTGCAGGTTAAAAACTCTGATTATCTCTAATAATCAATAACTCTGTACACATTATTATTGTAAACTCAGTCAAGTTTAAACTACTGACCACATCAACAGTTTGTAGTTACATTCAACAGTCATTCATTAACAAACACTCTGCATAAACATGTGTGAAGCTTCACTGTGACTCAGAGTGTCTGTTTGATTCACAGAAACACAGAAACACTCTGAACTCAGATTTACTGCCACCTTCTCCACTTTTTCTTGTTTTGTCACTTTGAATGTCAGTGGATTTTAATTGAAACATTTTCATTATGAGCAACAGAAAAAATATTTTAAACTCATTCTTTAAAAAACTCCAAACAGACCTAAATTATTTGAAATATTAAACACAAAAACTGCAACATTTTCTTGTTTCTGTCAGATATTTAACACTTTGGAAATTTAATTGTATTTCTGTTGTCTGATTGCTGCTTTAAACTGGACATAAATTATTTATAAGGTTAGATTTGTGGAGATTCTGCTGATCAGCATCAAGTTGATCCACTGATATTCAGGAAGACAATAAAATATAAAGGTGTTCTCTTCATATATTTTATATTTCCAACCTCTCACATACAAACATGTACATATTGTGACATTTTACAGCAGATTAAGCCCCAGATTCCTCTGAGTCAAACACATTGATATTAACACTCTGATAAATCATTATTGTCTTCTGATCAATACTTTTCTATTGCTAATGTTTCATCACATCTCTTTAAAAAAAAAAATGCTTGTAACTCTTAAAAAAAATTGTCTGAAGGAACGAGAATCTGAAGAAAATCTACCCGAAACTGATGAACTGTGGATAAGTCCCGCCCACCGACACCTGGACTCTGAGCAGGTGAGGTTAAAACTTCATGAGGCTCTCAATCAGTTTAAAATGTTTTAGTTTGTTTCCACAGACAAAACTTCTGTCAGCTGTAAATAAAGACACAAAAAACAGTTTGTTCTGCCTAAAACTTAGGCCTGATCTTCAGTTCTATTTGACTTTGAATCTAAACTGAAAGGATGAGGAAAAATGTCTCCAACTCCCAAACATCTGGAATTTCCAATGAAATCATCACAGATGTGACAGAAAAACTGATCGTCAGCTGAACGATGGCTATCAGCTAACTGTCGGCTGACTATCGGCTGAACGATGGCTGTTGGCTAACTGTCGGCTGACTATCGGCTGAACGATGGCTGTTGGCTAACTGTCGGCTGACTATCGGCTGAACGATGGCTGTTGGCTGACTGTTGGCTGACTGTCGGCTGTATGATGGCTGTCAGCTAACTGTCGGCTGACTATCGGCTGAATGATGGCTGTCAGCTAACTGTCGGCTGACTATCGGCTGAATGATGGCTGTTGGCTGACTTTCAGCTGAATCATGGCTGTTGGCTAACTGTCAGCTAACTGTCGGCTGAATAATGGCTGTCGACTGACTGAGTGCTCATTGTCTTGGCTCTGAAACAAAAACTTTAGGTGTCTTTGAAGTAAAACTTTTCGCTGTGAGCAAAGTTTTGTTTTATTTGTGAAGCTCTGACTGAAGCACTGAGTCAGTCTTTGCAGCGACAAACAGAACTACGCCAGCCAATCAGAGCACTGTCCTTTGACATGTCATATGGTTCACAGAGGAGACAGCAATGATGTCACTGAGGCCCTGGTGACATCACATTGTCCTCTCCTGGTTCCCAACAGTCTCAGTGAGAAAAACAACTTATTAACCAACAACAAAAATAAAAACAATAAGTTAATTTATGAATCCTGTTGAAATAAATGTAGCTGTAATAAACAGCACAGGGAGAGAAAACAGCTGCTCTGACTCACAGCTGTTCACTGAAGATGTATAGTATTACTGTGTAATATTTACAGTATTACTGTATTTTTACAGTATTTGTATTTATATTAACAGTATTACAGTATACAGACAGAGTGTACGACACACATGCAGAACAGCAGAAACCAGTTTCATACTTTCAGAATAAAAGAGTCACTTCCTGTTTTCTGCAGATTTCTGTTCGAACAGTGTTTTATAATAACACTGTATCGTATTGTAGATACTGTACTGTTGTTTTAGTACTGCACTATGGCAGAAACACAGATTATAAAGTTCTTTAAACTTTGAAGAGCTACATTTTATAAACGTTCTTCGTCAGCATTTAATGTAAAAGTAATTCATTTAAAATGACCTTCTCTCTCTTATTACTGCAGATACAGTTGTTATTTACAGTTTATACTCAGTTCTGAATATAAAACAGGTGAAAATCAATCTGTCTGCAGCACTTCCTGTCTGACCTGATGATAAATTCTGATGTTCTGCTTTTAAAACAAATGCAGCCATAATTTAAGGTATTAACCTATTACAGCCCTCCCTGTTCTCTGATGTGTTTCTATTACTTTTAAAAAATGTGAAGAGAGTCCCATCTGTCACCTGTGACATCATCAATCTGAATGACTGTGATGTCATTTTGTTTACTGTTTCATCACTGATGTTTCTCTGTGAAAGTGAAACAGGGTTAACTGAAACAGCTCCACTGCAGACACTGCAGGTGTTCACACAAGTGACACTGTTTCCAGGTGTTTCCAGGTGTTTCTATGACAACAAATCTTCATGATATAATTCCACTTTTTCCAGGATCCTATAAAGAGTCTTAAGTTTTAAATCTGTGCAGTGAAAATGGAAGACATCTGTTCAGTAAGCTTTAAATCATTAACTCATGTCTTTATCTCTTCATGTACTGAGGTGAAGCTCTATGCTTTTCTGTGATTGGTCAGATGGCTGCTGTGATTAATTACTGTGTCTCTAGGCTTCTTCTTCTTCTCTTGTTAGTTTTCTTCTTCTTTTGTTTTACCTCCTGTTCCCCAGCAGCATTTCCTCCTCCAGAAAAAAATCACCACTTCCTGTCCTTTCAGTTTCCCTTTGTCTGTCCTGTGACAGACGCCGCCCGCAGATGATGTCAGAAGAACAGATCCCACCTCCTGTGAGACCATTAGTATAGCCTTCGCCCTGGGGGTGTCAGAAGAGCAGACTCCTCCTCCTGGTCGGACTGTTTGCTGAACAGAAAAAAAAACTTTATTTTAAACCAATAAGTCGACAAATTTTACTCTTCCACTGTGGAGCTGGTCTGGAGCTTTCCGTCATATCACATGATTTCCTCCATGGATGGAGTTACCCTGTTGTCATAAGTTAAACATGAAGCCTTAAGGTATCCTTACCGATACTTAAGGCTTCATGTTTAACTTCACTCTTCACAGTTTACCCAGCTGCACCACTTCTATCTGTATGCGTTTCCCTTCATGTTTTCTGATTTCTTGTATGTGGTTTGTCCTCAGGGGCCACCGTAGTTTTCCCTTCAGGTGGACCTGGTCCAGCCTGATCTCTCATCCTCCTGTCCTCAGGCTGATGAGACTTGTAGTCCTGCATCTGTTTCTAGTTCTGGTTTAGATCTAATGGTCACTGACGGGGGGTGTGTGTGTATGTGTTACCTGTCAAGTGTGTGTATGTGTGTGTGTGTGTGTTAACTGTGTAACCTATGTCATTTGTGTGTTAGGGTTACCTGTGTCAGGTGTTGCTGTGGGTCTTGTTGTTTCTTTTTCCAGCTGGATCTCTGGCAGACTAAAGATGGACGTCGCTGAAAGAACAATCACAGTGACTTTGTGATGTCATTGTACACAGTGACATCACATAACTCTGGGTTAAAGGTTGTGTTTAAACTTACTGTCAGGAAGTGACATCACTCTGACTCCAAGGTTACTGAAGTAACGATGATTCAACGACTCGACTGCAGAGATCCTCTTCTTCCCTTCAAACTACAGTTCAAAAGTTTAAATTAAAATGTTATCATCCAGTTCTCGGTGAAAACAGTTTCAGATATGATGATGTCACTTTTTCTCTGTGACACATTTACTGACCTGCAGGAATTTTGACAACAGCTCCACTCCTTCACTGCTGAGCCTGAACCACACACACACACACACACACACACACACACACACACACACAGTGTTATTTTATTTGGTGCATTGAGCCTTTATTAATAGGGTTATTGTCACATTATTATATCTCCCAAATTTAAATAATGAAGGGGGGGGGGTACTGTTGTGTACCTGTGTGTAGTATTGTTGTGTACCTGTGTGTAGCACTGTACCTGGGGGTGTGGTTACTCAGTCTCTCTGCTCTATACTGAGGGTAGTTGTATGTCACAAACTCCTCATTAGAACTGATCCCAGGCCAGCTCTGCTCTGTCGGAGTACCTGCACACACACAAACACAAATACATCAAATACACAAATACATCAATGTTTCCATGAACAAAAATATCAGGAGCTTATTGGTTCTCACCAAGCAGTTTGAAGATGAAGTGAAGCTCCTCCTCCACCGTGGAACCAGGAAACAGAGGTCGACCTGTGGCCATCTCATAGAAGATACAACCAACACCCCTAAAGACAGTCAGTCAGGCAGAGAGACAGACAGAGAGATAGACAGACAGTTTAGAGATGAACAGAGAGATAGACAGAAGGACAGACAACAGTTTAGAGACAGACAGACAGAGACACAGAGAAAGAGAGGATCAGAGTCTGATAACTATAAAACACCTGAGTCTCAGGTCGTGTTCAGAAGAAACATGATTGTTGTTACAGTATATAATAGTAGTAATAGTATTGACACTACAGTACACTGTATTAGTACTACAGTATGCTGCAGTAGTAACAGTACTGACACTGCAGTATACTGTAGTAGTACTGAAACTATACTACTGTAGTAGTGCTACAGTAGTAATAGTACTGACCACATGTCGATGTGAGTGGAGTAGTCGGTGCTGCCCAGCAGGATGTCCGGTGGTCGGTACCACAGTGTCACCACCTCGTTAGAGTACGTCTTTGTCGGGATCGACTTTGCTCGAGCCAAACCTGAAACACACACAGCACCTGAGCAACATCGTCCCGGTGACATCATCATTATCTCAGTGACATCATTATATCACATTCATTTGTCCAATGACCACTATAATAGTGGGTCCTGATCTGACTGGTCACCTGTGGGGAATGAGTGGGCTTGACCAGAAGTGGGGGGCTGAATGTGAATGGCTACAGAGCAGTGGAGGATGACATCCTGTAAACTGTAAGGTAAGTTAGCATGTGAGAGCCAGCTCTCTTTGGGTGGAGGCCATCACTCAGGCGGAGAGGTACAGTACACAGCATAAAGGACTACACCCTCACTTATTCCTAACAAACTGTGATTTCTCTTTACACACAAAAACTCAGACTTAACCCATTGAATCACTCAGATCTGAATCACACAAACAGTTATAATTTTTATTGAACACAGACATTAACTTCTGGATTTAATAACTGGTCAAACTGTGACTCTGAGCTTCTTTGTTGAGCTTCTGGGGTCATCTCAGCTGGACGTCCACTTCTTTGGAGAGTAGAACTGAATTATCTCCATTTATAGACAGTTTGTATGGCTGTGGACTGATGAAGATCTAAACTCTGTGACCCTTTTAGCTTCATGCTCATCAACTCTTCTTCATCCACAGTCTCTGAGATCTTTGTTGTCAGGCCTGGTTCACATCAGATGTTTCTCTAAATGATTATATCTTGTTTAAGAGTCCAAGTGTCTCTAACCCACATCTCCAGTCTGGTTTCACTGACTGGACTCCAGGTCTGATAACTCCAGACTCCAGTTAGCTTCTATTCATGTCATTAGTCGAGGTTCACACACTGTTTCAGCAACACTGAGAATGTTTGAAGCAATGTTTGTTGCAATGATTTCGACACAAGAACAGCACGATCATGTGTGTTTTTAGTCACAACAGATTGTGTTTGTTCATAATTGTTACATATAGTTAGTTCAATCATGGAAATTTAAAGACAAAATTCAACCAAAACATAAAATTTGCAGCAAGAGTAAAAAATACACTATAACTGACTCATATCCAAGTTGTTGCTGCTAAAGTCAGGACTGCTCAGTCTCACCGTTACGACTGTGTGGTGTTTGTGTGTCTGTTGTGTTGCACTGATGTCCTTCATTTACCCTGTATGTTAAGCATTTGTGTGTAAATGACAAACCTGAACATGAACGTGGTGGACTCACCAAAGTCTGCCAGCTTGAGCTCTCCTCGCTCGTTGATCAGCAGGTTTTGGGGTTTCAGATCTCGATGGAGAACTTTCCTGCGGTGACAGTATGACAAACCTCGCAGCAACTGGAAAAGAAAGAGCTGGGGAGAGAAAAACCAGTTCAGTTCAGAGATGAGTTGATGGTAAACTGGACCAACAGAAAATAAACTGGAGAACAAAGAGCTGCGGAGAGAAAAGCCAGTAGAAAGAAAACAAACTGTTTAACTATGTTCAACTGTACTATGATCAGGGCTGCCACTAACGACTATTTTTCTATCAATTCATCTATTGACTATATTTTCAATTAGTCGATTAATCTAAACAATTAATTTTCCTCCAGAAAATCTAATTGACAAACTCACATGGTCCAGATTCAGGCCTAAACATTTTCTCAAACACTTATTCAGTGTAAATTCTTACAGCAGATGACTATGGCTTTATTTTTTATTTTTTTTATTTTTTTAAACTTTATTTTCATGAAGTCATTTTTCAGTATACTTAGAAAGAGAGAAAGAAAGGAAAATAACAAGAAAAGGAACAAGAAAGAAAAGGCACAGATAGAAAAATATACATACGCATATATATTATTACACAGGGAGAGAAGAATCATAGTAACAATGTGTACAATTATAGAGGTAGGTCCAGGGTTTAGAGATATTTCAGTCATATGTGATCCATTTGTCCATAGTCTATCCTTCATATCAAAACAGGACAGAAACATTCTCACACTAGTGCCCAACTACACTGAGAGAGCACATCAAATAGGACAGTAGGGGGCACTGTACTCAAGCAAAAAAGAAAGAAAATGAAACAGAGCACATTATTAGTTGTTATTAACTGCTTCCTGTTGTAAGTGTCACTTATTCAAGATGAGCTGTCCATTTCCTCCAGAACATAGTGAATTTGTCCATGCACAAGTTCAAGGAAAAAGTCAGTTTTTCCATGTCATATATTTCTTTCACAATTGCAATCCACTCCTCTTTAGATGGGGACTCTTTCGATAGCCATCTTCTTGTAATAGCTGTTTTACTGGCTACCATCATTATTTTAATCAAATACTTATCAGTAGCACTGATTGTGGGGGAAATATTACCAAGATAAATTGTGCAAAAATCATTATTAATCTCAAAGCCTACTATTGAATTAATTTTCTCCACTACAACCCGCCACTAAGTGGAAGACCCATTAAATGATTGTAAACAGGAGTAGATTCTGGAAATCAATTTCCGGTTTAATTTAGATTTGTATGCATCGATCAAAATGTTTATTAAATCAAAACTGCCTTCCTCTGTTGTTCTACATCACAGTTAAAATGAGCTCTAACTTGAAGGTATCTGAAAAAGTCTTGATTTTCTAAGTCATAATTGTCTTTAAATTTTTGAAAACAGTTTAGTCTCCCTTTATCAAAAATGAGACAGTATGTTGTGATACCGTTGGAGAGCCACTGTTTGAAGCGTCCATCCATCTGGGCAGGTTTAAAATCTTTATCATGTGCTATCCATCGTAATATTTTAATGTGGTTTTCCAGTTTGTTTTTACGGCATTCACTAAACCAAATGTTTAGGGGTGTTTTTGTCCAACCGCTTAAGTTTTGTTTGTACAGTAAGTATAGATTTCTGTCTCCAAGTAAGCTCTGGAGGGGAATGTCCAGTTGACTTGATTCTAGATTTTTCCATTTGGCATTGTAATATGGGTCGCACAAATAGATCAAGTATCTAAGCTGTGCTCATTTGTAGTAGTTCTCTATGTTCGGCAGGGTCAATCCTCCTTTTTCTTTAGACAATTGCAATGTTTTGTATCTGATCCTTGGTTTAAGGCCTCTCCATATGAACCCAGATAGCATTCTCTTCCACTCTATTAATTGTTTTTCAGGTATTTCTATTGGTATTGACAGAAAAAGAAAAAGCAATCGTGGTAAGATGTTCATTTTAACTGTATCTATTCGGTTATGCAAGTCCAGTGGTAATAAACTCCATTTGTTTAAATCTGCCTTTATCTCCTTCGTAATTGGAAGATAGTTAGTTGCGTAGAAGGTAGATAAATCCTTTGGGATTTTTATTCCTAAATATTTAATAATATTATTGACTATGGCTTTATGAGAGTATTTATCAGCTACAAGGACAAAAGATATTGAAAAGCTCTCCCCACAAATGAACAGACAACACTTGAAGGAATCCACATTTGTGACTGATTGCACTGTGCGCCATAAAAAATAATAATCAAAAAATAACACTATAAACCTTCTTCATAGGTGAAGATAATGGTGACCTCAGAAAACACTTTTTAGCCATTACTCGAGATTCACAAATTTCACACAAATGGTTCATATTTTATATGCCACATTTTCTGAGCATAGACTTTTTTCCACAGTGTGATCGCTTCCCACAGGTATTCATTTTTTTTTAAGAAAGAAAGAGACAATTTTATGGATCTCTGATACATCCAGTCTTACTTCAGTAAAAGCGCGTCCATGCTAGCTAGCCTGAATCACATGGTAGCACGACTCCAAGGTCCCGTAACACCAGAGTGGGTCCTGACCCACCTGGGGCCCTAAGCAAAATTCTGTTAAGGGGCCAGGGGCCCTCCTACTTCACCCATGAGCTATGTAAACCAGAAATCTGGCTAACCCTCAGCCAACAGTCCTCACCCATATGTGTCTTCCTCTCTGTTTGACTATGGACCTGCCAGTCTGCAGTTAACAAAGCTGATTTAATTCCTGCCTCTGCTTACCAGCTAACCCTTCAGCTTCTGGCTCTCACTGAGACCTGGATCAGACCTGAAAACTCCTCTCCACTAACTACACATTCTCCCATACTTCTCTCCCATACTTCCTGTCTGTCCGTCCGAGGAGGCGGGACTGGTCTCCTAATTTCCAACAAAACGACATTAAGCTGTTGCCTCCAAACAAATCCTCCATCTACAGTACCATTTTGTTATGGTGACTGCTCTGCTAAAAGTCTCTGTGGTTGTCATCAACTATACTCCGGGACAACTAGGTGATTTTGTGAATGAGTTAGACACACTGTTGTCTTCTGTTCCTGAGCATGTCTGTCTGTTACTGATTCCAGGTGATATGAACATCCACTCAAGACAAGCTGAGCTCTGTAGTGATGTGATGTGATGATATGATGAGTAGAGCAGTATAAATACACACTATCAGCAGCATCAGGAGAACTGACGGTAACAAATGAATAAAAGTGAAGCTTCCTCACTTTGACGTTGTGAACATGGATCATGTTTCCACAGTCGTCCAGGTACTGTTTCAGATCTTTGTCCTGTAACACACAACAGACTCACACATTAACGCACACATTACAGACCCAAAACGCTAAATACGGTGTGTGTATGTGTCTGAATATGTGTGTGTGTGTGTGTGTGTGTGTGTGTGTGTGTGTGTGTCTCACCAGGTACTCAAACACCAATGTGAGGGACTTCTGTGTGTGGATGATGTCATGAAGCGTGACGATGTTAGCGTGTTTCAGATCCTTCAACAGAGACACTGAGGGAGAAAACACAGTGAACACACTGAAAACACACAGCGTGTAATAAACACACACACTACAGTAGTAGTACTGATACTATATTACTACAGATACTGTAGTACTACTGATACTATATTACTACTACTACTGTAGTACTACTGACTACAGTAATAAAACAAATATTGTAGTAATACTGATACTATTGTACTGTATTGTAGTATGAGTACTGTAGTGCAGTATTAGTACTGTATCAGCATTGTAGTCCAGTATTAGAACTGTAGTATAAGTACTGTAGGGTGGTATTAGTACTGTAGTATCAGTACTGTAGTGCAGTATTAGTACTGTAGTGCAGTACTAGTGCTGTAGTATCTGTACTGCAGTACAATATTAGTATTATAGTATCAGTACTGTAGTTCAGTATTAGGACTGTATCAGTGCTGCAGTGCAGTATTAGTGCTGTACAGATACTGTAGTATTAGTACTGTACTGTGGTATTAGTAGCCTAGTACCAGTGCTGTAGTGTTGTATCAGTACTGTACTTTAGTATAATCACTGTACTGTAGTATCAGTACTTTAGTATTGTAGTATAATATCAGTACTGTAGTACCTTCTCTGATTGCAGTACATGGAGCTCCTTCTTCATGTTCCAGTCGAATTTCCTTCAGAGCCACAAGGTTTTCAGTCAGTTTACTGCGACCTTTATACACTGTAGCGTAGGTCCCCTACAGACAGGTGAGAAAGAGACAGGTGAGACAGACAGGTGAGAGGAGGACAGGTGAGAGAGAGACAGGTGAGAGAGGGACAGGTAAGACAGACAGGTGAGAAAGACAGGTGAGACTGACAGGTGAGAGAGGGACAGGTAAGACAGACAGGTGAGAGAGGGACAGGTAAGACAGACAGGTAAGAAAGACAGGTGAGAGCGGGACAGGTAAGACAGACAGGTGAGACAGACAGGTTAGACAGACAGGTTAGAGGGAGACAGGTGAGACAGAAAGTTAAGAAAGACAGGTGAGACAGACAGGTGACAGGGAGACAGGTGAGAGAGAGTTTAACTTAAAAATATTCAAATTCTAGTACTTTGAGCCCTTTGTTGTTTTGTTTAGTACTTGTACATGTCGGTACGTATGACATAACTGACAATAAAGTTGACATGTCTTTGAAACTTAAACAGCTGGAGATGAAAGTAAATCAACATGAACACAAGTACAAACATGTGTGTCGTCACCTCTCCCAGTTTGTCCAGTTTGATGTACGTTTCTAGTTTCCCAAAACCAATCTCTGACTGCAGACAGACAGACAGAGAGAGAGAGAGAGAGAGAGAGAGAGAGAGAGAGAGAGAGAGGATTAATATAATCTGTGTGTAGACCGCCTTTTGTGCTTATTACAGGAATTGAAACAATATTTCTTTACACTATTCACTACTGGAAAAAGTAAAGTTATTATTGGACACTGGTCTCCATATATGTCATATAAATCACATACATGATATATACATCATGTATATGATTTATATGATATATATGATATATATCACATCATGGAGACAAACTTCACCTCTCGACTCTTAGTAATCATAAATATGAAAAGTGAATGACAATAAAAAATTTCAAATATTTGGTTGTGACACCAACAGTAAGTTTTACACAACATCCACCCAGTGATATTGTTTCCATTATGACACTCACTGTATATCCATTCATTACTCCACCAATGTTAGTGCTACACTAACAACACACTGAAGAATATGAAATCCACTAATAAAGCACTTAACTTTATGTTTAAGTAACGAAGGCTTCTAGGACAGAGGCCCAGTTTCAAATAAGAAAATACTATACTGTAAGGCCATAAGGAAAAGATGTGTGGTGCCCCCTATTGGCCAATTTTAAGCCTTTAAGGTTTTACAAGCTCAGTTCAACATAAATAGCTGCCATGTTTCGTGATGATTGGACAAACTTATTGATTTATAGCGCAATTTGCATCGACTTCATGCACATGTTCCTGTGAATTTTGTAATGACCGGACAAACATTTTCTCATTTATATTTGTACATTCATATTTTTGTAGATTTGAATGAAACTTTCAGGGTGTGTTCCAGATGCTTATGGGGACACATCCTGCAAGTTTTGTGATGATCAGCACAACAGTAATTGACTCTGTACTACTCATCTGTTGAGCCACGTCCGCTTCATTGGTAAATATCATGACAAACAAATAAGATATCAACAAACTTCATACAATTATTGATCAGCTTGATCCAATAATGATCCACAATCCATTTGGTAGCAATCAAACCTACAGCTTAGAAGGAGATGTCAAAAATGTGCTTTTTTTTGTGTGTGTGTGTGTGTGTGTGTGTGTGTGTGTGTGTGTGTGTGTGTGTGTTAATTACTGTTAATTATAGCGCCACCATCGGGCTGATTCTAATCAGATTTCATGGGAAGCATTAGCAGATCATTTTCAGTTAGGGTACCAAGTTTCTTTTCCAGCTCACAGCAGATTGCGCAAAGGTATAACAGGGCACATAATGATGAATAGGCCACGCCCACATGCACCAATCAATATAGACAGGCAGACATACCAGAGACACTCTACGCAGCCTCCTGCTGATTGGCTGCTCAAACAGAGCTGGACCAATCAGATTAAACTTCTCCAGGTAATCATCAGGAAGACGAATATCAGCCGGTAACGAGAGACGTTTATTAATGTCCTGTAACACAACAGGAAACAGACAGACAGAAGGAAACAGACAGGAAACAGTTAGACAGACAGACAGACAGACAGGAAACAGCCAGACAGACAGGAAACAGCCAGACAGACAGGAAAGAGACAGACAGCCAGACAGACAGACAGCCAGACAGGAAAGTAAGTATAAGTGAGACCCCATTACTCCATATGAGTATTTACCCTCTCCACTTTGATCATTAACCAAACACTCGATAACTAGTAAATAGTATTTACTACTTACTAGTATTTACAGAGAACATCCGGTTCTCTGTGCTTCAGTCAAATTAAATGCTTTGTAAGTCACTGTCAAACAAAGTCTTGGTGTGTCACTCTGTCTGTGTTTATGTATAAGCGTTTGTTTGTGTATAAGTGTGTGTGTTTATGTATATTTGTGTGTGTGTGTGTGTGTGTGTGTGTGTTTGTGAACTGTGTGTGTACCTCAGTAGAGATCTTCTTGTTCCTCAGTCTGACTCTAACTGGACTCTGTACGTCATCTGAAGAAGAAGCCGGATCACTTTCTCCATCTGAACTCATCTTCACGTCTTCATGGACAATCTCTGAAAACACACACACCAGAGGTCTGTACTATGAAGCAGGATTTGAGGTTATTGAGGTAACTTAAGGTTTAACTCTGGGTTTTCTGTCCTACAATAACGGGGTAAATCACCATGGCATCTTATGCTGCACTCCTAACCTGCTTCGGAGCAGGTTAGGAGTGCAACATAAGAAGAACAATGACACACACACAGTTAAATATTTCTATGATTATAAATGAACATTTCAGTCTGACATTAACTTTAACTGTTTTATCTGATTTACATGTTCATAACAGTTTGTTCATCGTTCGAAAAAAGAGCGAAAATACCAGTGAGAAACTTCATGATAATTCATGAATGCACCCGTAACCAGATAGAAAAACCCAGGGTTAACTGAGCCAGTTAATAACCAGCTTCGTAATACAGGTTATCCAGGATGGTCACTGTTAGATTTAGTTAAACCAGATAACGAAAAGTTATCCTGGACATGTTGAACTTGCTTCGCAGTACAGGCCTTTGGTCACACACTCACACAATCTAAGTCTGAGCTGAGTAATGTACAACAAAGGACCTGTGCATCAATACTGACATATACACAAATGTGTGTGACACACACACACACACAAAAGTATATTGTATGTATAAATGCACATATATACATGCATTTAACTACTATTTTTATTGAATTCATTCACACAGTGTGATCAGACAACAGGGCCAGAATTTCTTCTGTGACAGTATTATAGTATCAGTGACCTGTCTGTTGGTCAGGTTGTAGTTCACACTGATCAGCCTCAACACTGAAGGAAAAACTTCAGCAGGTTTGAACCTGTGTCGGTCAGTTAGTTAGTTTGTGTTGTTGTGTTTACTTGTGTTATTCTTACTGTCTCTACTGTTTTTTAATCTGTTGTGTTTCCTTATGGAGCACTTTGTAACATCTGCTTTGAAAAGTGCTGTATAAATAATGATTAACTATTATTACTACTATTATTATAGTGTGGTATTTGTACACATGTATTTGCAGTATTAGTACCCAGTCTGTTGGTGTGGTTCAGGTAAGAGCTCAGGCTGCGTCCGAGGCCTCGAGGTTTCCTCAGTGAGCTGCTGTACGACTGAAGGAGAGACTGAACAGAAGAAGAAGAACCTCGAACCTTTAAACCACCAGAAGAAGAACGAAGAGACACCTCTGAGAGAGAAGAGAAGAAATAGGAGGTTACATAAGAATGTAGACCCCAGATCAGAAGGTCAGTGAGGAATCAAAGGTGCCATAAACGCAGAACAGACTTTAAACTAAATTTTTCAGTGTGGTCTACATCAGAGATCATTTTTCAGAGAGCAGATGTCTCCATGGAAATACCTTCAACACATTCTTCTGGTGATAGGGTCAGAAAACACCAACTGGAACCTCTGTGGTCCAGGGTAAACATCATCTTATATCTCATCTGTTTTCAGTTTATTTCTCCACACAAAAGGTATCTCTCACAACTCTGGAGAACAGAAAAGGAGAATAGACCTGCTACTGTAGCGGTGTTCTCTCTTCCTAATGATCCAGCCACTGAACTGTCCATTCAGGAAATGAAATCATACAGATCCTAACCTCAGAATTGTCCAAGACCAGGTTCAATACCAGGACCAAGTCCAGAACCAGGTTCAGGACCTCTAAGGGGCTTGGCTCAGTTATTCATAGATTTATAAGACAAACCTGATTCTGGATCAATAATCCCATGTTTGATTTGATGTCCAAGCTGTAAGTGATCTACCTGCTGATCACACATTAAAATGTCTGTTTGTGTGAGTGTGTGTGTGTGTGTGTGTGTGTATGAGAGACCTGAATCACTGTGCGATGTCACTTCCTGGTTGATGGTGTCACTCAGCGTCCTTTCCCCTCCCCCAGCCCCTCCCCTCCCCAGAGTGAGTGACAACTGCCGTTTGATCTTCCTCATCCTCTCCATGAGTGGGGGCCGGGGAGGCAGTGGGGGGCGTGACGCTGAGGGTGGCGTGGCAGCCAGCCTGGATTCCACACCTGGACAGGTAAATAAAGGAAATAAAGGCTAGAACACCAACGCTGTCTATCACTACTATTATGGCAACCGTCTTGATTCTCTTGTGAGATCAGAGTTTTCCCTGTTACAGAGGGGTGAACTTTGGCAGCTCAGTGAAGTCTCTCTATACAGGTCACAAGCTGCTCCACAGGGATTAAACACACTGTCAGAACAAGACAAGCATCACGTAGGTCCATCACAGACATACAGATCGAGCAGTGCTGCAGTGGCACCTGACAGAGCAGCATCAGGCTGCAACACAAACCCACAGCTATGAACAGTTGAGACTTTGGACATCAAGCCCACACAGACAGGTAAACGGCCCAGTATAAACAGAGTTGTTCTGATACCGATACTAGTGTTGGAAATGACTCAGATACTGCCTAAAATAGTGGATCAGGAATTAGCAAGTACACAAGTCTATGCACCAATCGGATACCATGTAATGTATTAATAAATTTTATAGTTTCACACCTGGATAAAATGGCAATTTATTTAAAACATTAGCCTACACAGGCTGCGCTGTACAGCCACTGACAACCACTGTTATAGAGCACTGAAGAAGAGTTCATTTCTGGTAAATAGTGTAGTGTTAGCTGAAGTCTGAGGTCACTAAGAGGTCCCAAACCCAGATGCTGTCCTATCCAGACCTTGACCTATAACCAATAAATTATTGAGAATTATTACATTTCGACTGAGTGTTTGTTTTAACTGGAGCAGCTTTTCTAGACTTCACAGCACTAGTCACATGATGCTACTTAGCCAATCACTAAGACTGGAGTCAATGAGTGACACACACACACACACACACACACACACACACACACACACACACACACACACACACACACACAGTGAACTCATGTAGGGATCATGTAGTGACGGTCGTTACACACTGTGTCTCCAAAAACCTTGTAAAATAATTCAGAGAGCCTCAGCATATGACAGCTGCAGTAGGAGACAACAACCGTTTTAGATTCTCCTTTCACATGTTTTCATGTATGAAAAGACCCTGAATGAACTGCTGGGTTACTATAGGCTGTTTGATCCATATGAGCTGTTTCCATTGTAATAAAACAGAGATTCTGTGTCATTCATGTATCTGTTCATGTTTTACCTGAGCCATACTACTTGATTACATTTCACTAGATAACCTGAAAAGACAGGAATGTTCACAATTACTGTGGAGGCACAGCTAGTACACTAAATACTAAACAAAGTAGCCCCTAAAAAGCTAAAAATGAAGACAGTACTGTGGTAAGCTTGACACCTCCATGTATCAACACCATGTGAAATAAAATCACCACAATTCACAGGGTCAGCAGACAACTGAAGTACCTGGTCTCTGAGGTACCTGGTCTCTGAAGTGAGACAGGCAAAGATGACGAGTCAGAGACTGACTCTGTTTTTACAGCGCAGGAAGTTAGGACTACACCACTGCTGTATCTCAGTACTTCCATAGTGCGTCCATCCTGGATACATAGCGAAATGGGAGAGACCATCAACGTATTTTCAAACTTGTGCCAGAGGAGGGAGGACACGTCAACAACACTGATGGCGTCCTAATTTCAATGCCATGTGAAACAGGAGGCACATAGGAAAGTAAAATGTTCATTTTGAGTCACCTGGACAAAGCAGCGGGCAGATATATTGGTGGGAAACTATCACAGTCAATGTTGTGATTGTGATTTCCACTAAGTGCACAACTGCAGTGTTGGATTTGAGACAACACTACACACTGTGTACTACATGTGAGTATAGTGTGTACACTGTGTACTACATGTGAGTATAGTGAAGTATCCTGTTCAGCACTGGTCTGGAGAAAGAAGGTGAATGTTGTTTCCACTCATGGAAACGCTGAAATATAACAGTGAAACTAAACTGAACAACACTAACAGTATGTATCTCTCATACAGCTAACAAGTTAATATGGTACAACCTGACTGGTATATTATATCACTGTTTGATGTTGTGACATCACGGTACGTCATTAACATGTCCGCCGAGACAACTGAACATAAATAATTAAAGCTTCATGAATGTTTCAGTTTAACCCCCAGCTAACAACAGCTAACAGCAACAGCTTACCACAGCTACAAGCAACTGCTAACAGCTAACAACAGCTAACAGCCAGTGTTTATATTATCGTGTTGGTTCTGTGTGGTATTGTTTATGTTCTGTGTCCTCTTTGTGGTACTGTCTATGTTCTGTATCCTCTCTCTGGTACTGTCTAGGTTCTGTGTCCTCTCTGTGGTACTGTCTATGTTCTGTGTTTTCTCTCTGGTACTGTCTAGGTTCTGTGTCCTCTCTCTGGTACTGCCTATGTTCTGCATTCTCTGGTACTGTCTATGCTCTGTTTCCTCTCTCTGGCACTGTCTAGGTTCTGTGTCCTCTCTGTGGTACTGTCTGTGTTCTCTTTCTGGTACTGTCTATGTTCTGCATTCTCTGATTCTCACTGTGTTCTGTGTTCCCTCTATGGTACCGTCTATGTGGTACTGTCTATGTTCTGCATGCTCTGGTTCTGTCTGTGTTCTCTCTGTGTGACCTGGTACCATCTATTTTCTGTGTGTTTTCTCTCTACATGTTTATGTATTAGAGGGACCCGTCTATTTGCTGCAGTTAATGTCCTCAGTGTGTGTTATAAATATCAGCGGAGGCGGAGCGGGTTAATCTCTGAGACGGTCGCTCCGTTAACGGCTCCGTCATTCTTTCATAAAACGGTTTCCCTGTCATAAAGGGATCGGCAGTAAGGGTTACTCACCGGGAAGGTTTGTCCCGGTCTGTCCCGGGTTATTTTTGGCTCGGTTCAGTCTGACAGAATCTTGGGTTTTCCTGGCTCCCAATAATCTGCAGCCATGTTGCTGCTCCGCTCCGCTCCGTTCCTCCGGTGAGTCCTGAAGTGGACATCCACCGCACCGTCAGTGACGTCACTGCACGGCGCCCCCGGCACGTGCCGTCCATTGGTTCTGTATTTATTTTAAATTAATCAGTTATAAAAACAACAAACTCAGTGGGAGTCAACAAGGTAAACGAATATAATGCAGACATATACACGAATTTGTATAAAAACTAAAAATTTAAGTATGATATAAAAAAAACATGTTGTGTATCAGTTCACTTTAAATACAATATACAAAATATTTCTAAATTTGAACTGTGATGTTCGAATAAGATAAATAAACTTCACAGGAGAAAAATAGCATCTGACCTCAGAAATAATTCATAGAGTTAAACGTGTGAGGTCATTAATCTTTATTTATATTTGAATCCGCTAACCTTATTCAAATTTGAACCCACTAGCCTTTATTTAACCTGCAAAGACACACACAGGTATCTGCGGAGAGACCGTGTTCCTGGTGCTCTGTTTGTCCCTCTCCCTCTCCTGTTCTGCCCAGGTGCTACCTGATTCACCTGGCATGGGAATTAAGTGTTTAAAGGTTCCTGTGCCAGCATCAGAAGATCAGAAGGAGGAAGCTCCTGGTATGGGCACTGCTGGTCTTGCTACCTCCCAGTCTGGGTCGGGGTTTCCTGGTTCTTTTGTATATTTATGTTAATAAATTTCATGAACTTTGTTTTAAAAAACTTTTCTGTGGTTGATTTGGGTCAGTGGTGGAGTGTTGTACACCCCATAGAGCCACCCAAGGGTGGGGCGAAAGAGACAGACAGACAGGTGCTGTACAGAGACAGACAGTCTGCAGGATTAAGAAGCTGATTGGCTGAAACAGGATTAAAATGAGCTGCTGATCAGCACTTTACTGTACTTCAGATTTACAAAGATATCAGTTTAACTCAGAGACAAATAATACAACAGACACAACGACAGACAGACAGGACTGAAGAAGAAGAAGAAGAAGAGGAGGGAAACTACAGAGGAAACAAAGGCCATCACAACAGCAGCTGGTACTGATACTGTAATACTGTTAATACTACAGCTACTACTGAATGCAGAAATTAGTGAACTGTGTGATAATAATAACTTATGAACTCACTCATCCAGGGAGATAATTATCATTACAGATAAGATCATTTTAGTCAAAGTGTGTATGACTTTAGAGGAAAAGATCTTGCTGAGGTCAGTCAGACTTCTGACACTGTTGTTAAACAGGATTATTTTATAGGAGCTAGTTCTCTTTATAGGCTTAGTAATTGTATTAGACTCCACAGGGTGCACACACGAGTCTTCTTGTGTTGTATTGCATATTTTGTCTCAGGGAGTCCTTGAATAAGAGAGCTTGCTCTCAATGGCCTTTCCTGTATAAATAAAGATTCGAATGAAAAATGAACAAATGTTGCAGAGTTGGGTCCAAATAAGAAAAGGCCCTGATGAATTTGTATTGTGCTGAGGCCAGAGGCAATTCCTGCTACCCGGGAGTAGACAGATTTAAAGTCTCTAAGTGGTATGTCACTCTTACAACAGTCACATGAGCAGTTTATAGATATGGCTTGAAGGATCAAAGGTGTCGGGTGGGTGTCCTGGTTCAGGTACTGTGCAGGACACTCAGCTAACTCTGGTGTGGAGGGTCAGGCCCTCCAGTGTCGTTGAAGATACTGCCGGACCCCCACAAGACAGTACTGATGATGACTGTCTGTCTCTGCCTGTCTGTCTCCCAGGATGTCTGTGCTCACAGTGTTGGTGGTCCTGGTCGGTCTGTATGCTGTGTGTCGTTGTATGATTCCCTGGTTGGTTCAGTCTAACTCCACTCTGGCTCTGCTGTGGTACGACTTCGTGCTGGAGATGACCCTTGACCTCCTGACACGAACAACACGACCTCAGGTGACCTCTGAGTACCTGTCTGTTCGCCTGTCTGTCTCTCTCTGACCTGTTGCTCTATCTGACCTGTCGCTTTCTCCGACCTGTCTCCCTCTCTCACCCGTCTGTCTCTCTCTCTGACCTGTCTCTCTCTCTCTGACCTGCCACTTTCTCTGACCTGTCTCTCTCTCTGAATCGTCTGTGTCTCTGACCTGTCTCTCTCTCTCTGACCTGTCTGTCTCTCAGCGCCTCCTGCGGGCTGTCATTATAAATGCAGTCAGAGGAGATCCAGACAGCGTCATCAGAGCCATCGATCACTTCTGTAAACACACAGAGTGGGCGATGAACATAGGAGACGAGAAAGGACACACACACACACACACACACACACACACACACACACACACACACACACACACACACACACACACACACACACACACACACACACACACACACACACACACACAAACACACAGACACACACATACACATACACACTCACCCAAACGTATTTAGAGATGTGTGTATTCTGTTAATCACATGGCACTCTGTCTCCCAGGCGCCATCTTGGACTCAGTTGTCATGGAAACATCTCCATCCACAGTACTGGAGTTGGGAACGTACTGTGGCTACTCTGCTGTTCGCATCACCAGGCTGTTGCCTCCGTCAACAAGGCTGATTACTGTGGAGATGAACCCCGAGTACGCTTGCGTGGCGCGACAGGTCATCCAACACGCAGGCCTGCAGGACAAGGTCAGAGATCAGGGGTCATCAATCACTCACATGTTCTCAGATAAAACTAACCTAATAAACATAAACATCGAACATGGCCCAGGAATTAGCCAGTACCTCAGCATCAAACAGGTGGATGGTCACTAGGTTTACCTGACAGGAAGCAGAGAGGACACATAAACAAGTTCTAGTCAACAAGAACCAGATCATCTGTAGTGAATTAAGTTCCACCAAGATGAGGCTGATCTGTCCCACCTGGTCTCTCTGGAGGAGTGGTTCAGGAGGCTGAAGGGAGAGGAGGCATAGAGGAGGCCCTATGGGCCCTATGTGATGGCACATCAGAGGTGCCATCACATCCATGTCCGAGGCAGGACCGTGACAGGACAGTGAGCTGTTTCCTAGAGGCAAAGAGACCAGCTACAGCTGCAGTAAAGCAGTCCCAGATCTCATTTACCCCCCTCTGGGTTCAGCCTCCATTATCCAGAGGAAGACCCCCCACATGGAGAAATACTCTTCATTAAAACAGTTAAAGCATCTGTTCACTTCCTTAAACAAAGTCTGATTTCTTGCGGGACAATTGCTGCACACATACAAAGTGAATCGCTTTCTAGATTAAAGTAGTTATGGGTGTGATTATTGATTACTGACGTCACTCCGGCAGGTGTGCGTCCTGGAAGGCCAATCAGCTGACCTCATTCCTAAGATGGCCGAAATGTTTGGGATCCAGACATTTGACTTTGTTTTCCTTGACCACTGGAAGGACCGCTATCTACCAGACATCAGATTGCTGGAGGTAATGACCTCTGACCCCTGAACCCACTGTATGTTCTGACCACTGACTTCTGACATTTAACCAACACCCCCCACCCTTGCAGGACTGCAGTCTCCTGGCCCAGGGGTCGGTGGTCCTGGCTGATAATGTGGTCTGCCCTGGAACTCCAGACTACCTGAACTACATCAGATCCAACCTGAATTACAAGAGCAGGTTCTACCAGGCTCACCTTGAGTACACCAGAGTCCTGGATGGACTGGAGAGGTCCGAGTACCTGGGGTGCAGACAGGGAAAGAGACAAGTAGACAGAGACACAGACAGGTAGACAGGGAGACAGACATACAAAAAATTAACGATATATGTCCTGAGTTTATCCTCAGAAACTGCCAATGTAGGAGAAAAGTCAAGCTGCAGTTTAACATGTTGACTGTTGTCAGACAGGAAGAGAAACAAGTGCTGTAGTTAATGTTTCTGAGTGAGTCCATCTGTGACAGTATCACAGCTGACTATGTTTTTCTATTAGACTCATTCCTTCCATATGTTATGGACAGCTCCTATGTCCTGTGTTCACGAATACAATTATTATTTATCATATTGTATTTGTCATGATGATTGATAGTATCATATTATTGTATATTTATTGCTAATCATCTGTCAATGTTAATAATTTCCTGTACTGCTCTGTCATGCCAATGAAGTATATTTAAATTTGAATTTGACACACCTCTTCACTGGTGCATGGAGGTTGGGGACAGTGCCTGTGGACTGGCAGACTGGGATGATGGTTCCCATTTTCAAATAGAGGACTGGAGGGTGTGCTTGAATTATCGGGGGATCACACTGCTCATTGTGCTGCTCAGAGAAAGCCTACGCCAGGGAGCTGGAGAGGAGGCTCCCACTGACTGTCGAACCTCAGATTCAGGAGGAGCAATGCATATTTCCTCCTGGCCATGTAACAGTGGACCAACTCTTTACCCTGGCAAAGTTACTAGCTTTTATCTATGAAGCAAGATGAGACTAATCAGTCAGTCAAACTTCAGGCATGTTATTCATCTGAATTCCTACAAAACTGAAGTTATTGTATTTGGCCCTAAACACCTCAGAAATACATTATCTGATAATATAGTTACTTAGGATGGAATTACCTTGACCTCCATAAATAGACCGCATCTTGTACCCATCCAACCTGTAAAGAGATAACTGGTGTCATTTGTTTTACTAGAGATTATTATAATCATTCAGTCCATTTGTGGAAGGTGTTTTATATTTATATTGCACATTAACACAGAGATTGTCAATCTGTTCACACTAATAACATAATTACCTTACCACTGCCAGTAAAGTTTAGTGTGCATTGATTCTTAGAAATGTATATATAGTTAACAAGAACTTTTGCTGTAATTACTTCATTATATCACAAGAAGTCCCTTAACAAATCAGAGACAGCAGGTTCCAAACAAGCATTTTAATCATAATATACAGGCCACATAATATTCTTAAACATGTTTTCCAAGACTGCAAAATAACAAAATGTAAAAAAAAAAAAAAAAAAAAGTGACTGAACACTTTCTCAATGCACCGTTATGTCTGATTGATTTGTCAGAGATATCTCTGTACTCTTTAACAGTCGCTTCCCACCAGGGAATTTCTCTAGGATCTAAAACTGCATGGTAAAAGGTTTTGAAAATTGGCATACTGATTGGGGACACACCCATGATGCTTTGAACTAAGTTTCATGTCTGTGTCTCAAGTGAGAGGTCTAACACATGACTTAAATAAAAAGCAGGTACAGGTGAGTGATGAGGGCATCACATTGATGATCAATAAGTGATAACAGATTCTAACCAGTGAGGAGGGAAAGTCAAAGGTCAATAAACAGCTCACTGAATTTTATTACAACAAACACACCAGTTCCAACGAGCTCATCAAGTCGTAAAGAACAGAAATTGGATAAAAAACTCATGATAAGTTGAAGAAAATATGCTCATTGGCTCCACCCCCCCAGCTCAGAAGGCCTGTGATTGGCTGGTGAAGATGAGTGTGTCAGCACAAGTTCATCACAATCTGCCTTTTGTTTCTATTGAAACAGTCCTGTCCAACAGCCAATCAGCTGTCTCTCTGCTGTCACTCTGATTGGTTTGAGTTGAAAATTTTGGTCAGCAGGGAGACATTTGATTGGCTCTTCTGCTGTATGAGGCGGGCCTTCTTCAGGTGTTTTGCGGTAACCGAGTCTTTCTTCTTCTTCTTCTTCATCTGGATCTCCTCCTCCGTCTGACGCTGAGTGAAGTCCCAGGTCTTCTCGTCCACCTGATGACAACACATAAACGTTTTACAACCAACGCCACCTACAGGAATTTTTTAGTCTGACTCTACCTGTATTGAAACTGTAGGTAGATTCAGGTGAGATAATCTGTAGTTTAGAGTTTACCTGTTGTCCGTCTTTCTGTTTCTTCCTCCTCATGTTGTCCATGTGGGCGCTCTTCTCCACATTGTTCAGGTAAAAGTTTGTTTCCCTCTTTGCCTGAGAAACTTCAGTTCTGAGTCTCTGCTGCAGAACTGTCTGCTCATAGGCCAGCCGCTCGCTCAGGTGAGTCCACTGGAACCTGTGCAGGTACTACAGACAGGGAGGGAGAGAGACAGGCAGGTGAGTCCACTGGAACCTATGCAGGCAATACAGACAGGTAGATTTGGTCTGACAGTGGTTCAAAGTGGTCAGTCTGTCCGTCTGAAATAAAATATGTCAGGGTGATGTCATGCGTTGCCGGGCAGACTGTACCTTGATGCACCACAGGTCAGAGGAAAAGCGTTGGCGTTTCCTGGTTCCCATCGGTGTGTTGTGGAGAGATGCAGCCACACTCTTTGCCACTCGTTTATCTCTGAACTCCACCCATCCTTCAGTGAAATCACACCTCCTCAAACCAGACTTCCTCTTCCTCATCCTCACCTGTCGGTCTGACAGTGTTGGAAACAAGGAGAGGAGAGAGGAAACAGTGATCAGAAAATCAACAGGTGTCTCCTCCTCACCTCATCATCAGACAGATCAATACATCACTGTATTGCTCTATCGCCATGGTAACTAATGCTGAATTCTAACTCTAACCTTCTCTGGAGCAGGTTACGTTTAAGATAACAGATCAGTGCATATAAAATCTCTGCCTTTGTTGTGCATTTGTTTAAACCAATCACAATCGTCCTCTGAGCCCAGGATGCAGTGACGGTGACCCTGCAAAATGGTTTCGGAGTGGAGCTTGTTTTGGGGGAATATTTGCACATGTGGAGGTGAGGACACAACAGCAAAGACTTACGTCGACTGTGTGACTACACATGATCCAAATCTCCATCAAAAACTCACCATCTTCAGTGTGGAGGTTTCAGCTTGTTGTTGTTTCCCGTAGTGACAGGGAAAACAGTAACAGGCAGAGAACGCCTCCACAACAGGCTTATACCTACAGCCTCCGTCCAGTGAGGCAGACTAGGCTGCTGGGAGAACTCCCATGATGCACTGAGCACTTCTTCTCTCTTCTCTCTCCCCATGCATTTATATCACACTACTGCATGTCATTAACTGTGTGTGTGTGTGTGTGTGTGACCCTGAGACAGGTTTCTTCCCGTTAAAGGGAGTTTTCCTGAGATGATGTCTGTTGATTTGAAGCTGATTTCTATGATTACAGCGTTTTGCGCATGTGTGTCTGTCTGTCTGTGTGTGTGTGTGTGTGTGCGTGTGTGTATTTTCATTTTACCTTCAGGTTGTAGAAATATTCGTCCAATCTCTCCAAACACTGACAGCAGGTTCCTCATGTGTTTGGGGCGGAGCCTAGGAGGAATGTGACCCAGGTAGATGATACCTGGAACACATTTCCTGTCTGAACAGGAAGTCTCTCCAACACTTTTCTGTTTGGTCTTCTTCTTCATCCCAGCAGCATCTTCATCATCACCTCTGTCTGTAGCTGCTCCCCCGTCCTCGTCCTCATCCTCCTCGTCCTCTCCCTGAGCTGTAGTCGTCCTCTCCTCCTCCTCCTCTTCCTCTCTTTTCTCCATCCCTCTGCACGGTGATCACTGAACAGAACCAGTAGAGACAAGCTAAAGACAGAATGACAAAAGTATGTGGACAGCAGTGCTGTAGAAATACACTAGATCTGACTCCACAGTCTGACCCGTGTATCTTTCCATTAGTTCACTAAACAGACCTCAGATCACTTTTTTCTGTTCACAGGACAAAATGTTCAGCATCATGTACTCAAGTCAAGATGTTGTGAAACATCTTACGAGATTCTATGAACTTACTAAACACATGGTGGAAGTGATGAACACAGTAACTCTCAGTCCCAGACTCAGTCTCAGTCCCAGAGTCTCTGTCCCTTTACCAGGCTCTGTTATGTTAGATGAGAGCGTGTGTTGAGTATAGTCTCAGACCTCAGGGAGAGATGATGGCTTCTCAGTGTTTGGTCTCTTACACTGACAGGTTGTATTTGTAATGGATCCACCAGGAAAAGAGAGATTTCTCCAGTTTGTTGACACTTTGATCTTATTTCTATTCAATGACTGTACATAAAAAAATAACTGGACACCTTCACAAGCAGGTGAAACTAACCTGTGAAAGACTCAAAGGCAGGTGAGATCATTTCTCAGAAGCTAAACACAGCTGAGAAAGTTGTTCCTTAATAACTATGACACATGTTCTTTGACTAGACTTGACTGATATTAAAACATTTGATGTTAACAGTCTTTACTTTAAATATAAAGGTGAGTTCAGAATAAACACTCTCATGTTTTCTCACACTAACTTTTAATGTGTCACGTACAAACCTTTGTATTGTTCTAAATCGCGTTGTGTGCAGTAGACGTCGCTGTGTTAACATCAACAAATGAAGCTTCGTGTCACCGTCACTACACCAACACATCTTAGTGTCTAATCAATAACTGAAAATAAGTGTCTGTTCTGCCTTCTGATCAGCTCCGTAATCATCACTTCCAGATTTCACTCTTTCACATTAAAACGCTGTAATTAAATGAATAAGAAATAAAATCTCACCTCCAGTTTGGCTTAAAAACTTCAACACTTTCCTCAAGACGAGTGCTGATCGCTCTCACATGTAGCAGCTCTGTCGCGTTTAAATGACGAAACAGAGCACAACGACCATCAGCTGTTATACAACTTCCGCTTATACCTTCAAAATAAAACTTTGATAACTGAAAAAAAAGCCTGGACATAAAAAGAGCGTTAACTTGACTCTTCTGTTGCCAGTTTATTTTACTGATGAGTCATTTTTTTGGTACTGGTGTTTAGTTGTGTTCAGTTTATCATTTGGTTTAGAAGACTTTTCTTCATTTAAACCCAAAATAAATATTTTCTCTTTACTTATTAATTATTATAGAATACATATATATAGTGTATCAATATAGAATATCAAAAACCCTTAAGCATACTTTACATACAAACAATATATTTAGAAAACAAATCTTTTTAGAGGTAAATTTCAGATGCGGACCTCATTGTAAGAGAAACAGACATATACTTTGTTGTGTTATTTAAAGAGCAGGCCGGACGGAAATACATTATCTACAACACTAACCTCTGAAATTTGAAGATGTAAGTGACATGGTACAATAAATAAAGGAAAATCTGTTTATATAATTTTTGAATTTAATATAGCCTATTAAAATTTGATTACTTGTAAACTGTCAAATCAATAGTTTTAAAGTATTCATTATTTCATCACCAGAGTTTTATTTCTTGGGACACAGATGTGATAAACAAAGACGTAGAAAAAATTACATTTATCAAAAGTTTGATTGAACAATGAATTAAATACACTTTGGAAGTCGAGTGTTAAAGCTTCTCGAAACTGAACACAAATTAAACTCTTACTTTGAAAAGTAAAACAGGAACTCTATACGTTTTTCACCCGGCTAGGTGCTGCCCTGCGGAGAAAGGCATGCTGGGATAGCAGTCATGGCGGTATGTTTTGAAGAGGAAGCTAACATTAGCAGTTAGCAGTGAAGATGCAGAGGGCAGTCTCCAGTTTGTCTTTCAGTCCCAGTGTAAAGGTGAAACTGGTCAGCGCTGGTTTCCAGTTCACCTCAGACCTGCTGCACCTTGAACCGCTACAACTCAGCAAAGGTAACCGTGGTGTTGACCCGCACTCCCACCAAACTGCATTCAAAATAACCCAGTTTTTAACATGCTGGTTTATGAGTGAACATCAACAACTTGTCGAAAGTACCGTAACTATGCTGAGAATCACGTGCAGTGTAAGGTCTAAAACACTTTAAATCTGATCACAGAGCTTTATTTACTGTGACACCGACTCTGCTGAAGCTCCACAGGACCGAGGTGTGTGTGTGTGTGTGTGTGTGTGTGTGTGTGTGTGTGTGTGAGAGAGAGAGAGAGAGAGGCGGGAGGGTCTCTGAACTTATTGTTAGTCACTTTAGGTAAAACTGTTAATACATGATGTTTCTTGTTGCAGAGGCTGGTCTGTCCCAGCAGGAGGCGCTGGAGGTGCTGCAGACTGTGACGAGAGCAGGAGAGGGGGTGTCAGCCTCTCTGACAGCTCTGGAGCTCCTGCAAAAAGAGGAGGAGACGAGGAGCATCGTGACCTTCTCCTCTCAGCTGGACGCTGCTCTTGGAGGAGGATTTCCTATCGGGAAAATAACAGAAATATGTGGAGTTCCAGGAGTTGGAAAAACACAACTGTGGTCAGACACACACACACACACACACACACACACACACACACACACACAAACAAACAAACACAGTTATCGGTCCTCCAAAGTGTCGTCAGATGTCATTAAAATAAAGGTTTAGTCATCAGTCTGACGTCTTTCCTATCTTCAGCTGCTCCAACAACAAACGATCCACAATCCTTTGCTCCATCACATCTATTTTAGCTCCACTATATCCTCATGTTTACATTCTGGGTCAGCATGCTGACAAGGCGCCGACCATGGGCCAATGGTGTGATGATGATGTGTGAGCTCTGTTAGCTTGTCTGAAGTTACAGCATGGTGTGTTTGGCATGTGTTAATTGATTAATTAAGACCTGTGGTGATGATGTCAGTGATCATGAGACCTGTGTGTTGATGATGACGTGACCCGTGTGTTACTCAGCCTGCAGCTGGCGGTGGACGTCCAGGTGCCCCAGTGTTTTGGGGGGGTCGGAGGTCAGGTGATGTACATTGACACTGAGGGCAGCTTCCTGTTGGAGAGAGTCATCGACATGGCCACCGCTGCCGTCAGACACTGCTCCCTATTGGTCGAAGATGACGAGCAGCGTGTTGCCATGACGACCTTCACTGTGGAGACCATCCTGTCCGACATCTTCCTGGTAATAATGACAGGTCATCATGGTAACTAAAATCACACTCAGATGTTAATGAGACTGATTCTGATTGCCCATCTGCCCCTCAGGTACGTTGCAATGACTATATGGAGCTGCTGGCCGAGCTCCACCTGTTGCCTGACTTCCTGTTAAACCACCCGAGGGTCCGCCTCCTGGTGATTGACAGCGTTGCGTTTCCATTCAGACAGTTTGACGACCTGTCACAAAGGACACGCCTCCTCCAAGGCCTTGCCCAACAGCTAGTCGCCATGGCATACAGACACCATGTGGCCGTGGTGATCACCAACCACATGACCACGCGGCTGCAGGGCAGCCAATCACAGCTTGTCCCTGCCCTTGGGGAGAACTGGGGCCATGCCCCCACAACCAGGCTCCTCCTACAGTGGGCGGGGTCACAACGACTTGCGGCCATTTTAAAATCTCCAGGTCATGTGGACACCACCATCCAATACCAGATTTCTTCTGACGGGTTCAGAGATGCCGACCAATCAGAGCTGCCACAGAACAAACGGCCCCGAACACATGCCAACCAATCAGCTGCCAGCCAGCCGGACTCCTGAAAAGAATGAGTGAATAAAAATCAATTAATACAACAGGATTCAAACCACAACCTCCAGGATGACTGTAGAGTCTGGTATGTGATACTGGTGCGGACTGTGTCGCTCTTTATATGATCTCACCTGACTTCTAAAGCATTTCTGGCAGAGGAAAGCAGATTCAAATTTGTGCCTAAAGGAAGGAACAGCAGTGATGTTATTACTGACCAACACACATTATATGAAGCTTGTGTTTAGAGTAGATGGAGAAATTAAAAATCACCTGGAAGGAAACAAATGATTTGAATCCAGTTTATACTGAGGTGAACTTCAACCTCTTGTGGCTGAAATCAATATTACAACAACATACACAGACACAACTGATGTGTTAATCAGTGAATAAGTGGTCCACTTTGAGTGGTCAATAAAACAAGAGCTCCAGTTTCTGTTCTGTTTAATGATTATAAATGTGAAAGTTTTTATGTCGTGTCTGTTGGTCCAATTCAAGTGTTCAGAAAAGTGATTTTAGTTTGTTTCACTTTACAAAATCTAAACCTCATGAAACATGTAAATGATTATGATTGTTTGACTCTGACTTGCTGCTCAACATGGACTGACAGTTACTTCAGGTGGAGAATAAACAGACTGATGTCACAACTACTCAGTCCAATAACAAAAGTTTTAACCAGCGTGCATTGCGTTAAGTGAGTTCTGTGCAGCACCACATGAAGCGAGAGAGAGAGCTGTCTTTCTCTACATACTCCTGTCTTTCCATTGGCTCACTGAGCTGAGGTCACACCTGAGGTTTGCAGGTGAATCGTGTCCTCACACGCTCAGTGTCTAACATCACCTCCAGAGTGTTCACCTGTTTGTCATGTCCAGGTACAGAGTGGTGGTTGTGTGTTATGATTCTGCCAGTTTACAGTCAGTTCTGATGTTGACATGAAGGTAATATGAGACTGGACCTTTGGGAGGTAAAGACTGTTGAAACAGGTGAACTCTCTCTGACAGCAGCTTCACCCTGTCTCTGTCTCCATCCTCACCTGTGGCTGTGAAACAACCTCTAACACTGTTCATCATGTAAAGTGGATTTTTTTTTTGGGGCCTTATTACGATAGTGACAGTGAGAGAGAGAGACAGGAAAGTCAGGGAGAGAGAGAGAGAGAGGATGACCTGCAGCAAAGGGCCTGAGTCGGATTAGAACCCAGGCTGCTGCGATCAGGACTAAGTCTAAATGGTATGAGCTCTACCAGGTGAGCCACCGGGGTGCCCCAGGTAAAGTGAATGTTTAATATTTTCATACAGACACTGATCCTGGAACTGTTCATGTTCAGGCTTAGTCACCATTACATGTTTGGGTAAACTACAGGCGGGGTTCTACTGTGAGATCCAGGTGTTACACTCAGGTGGGTGGATGTGTGTCCTGTTCAGTCTCAGTTGAACATCAAACCTCTCTAGGTTTATTTTCCTCATGTTTTATATTCTTTGATCATCTGTCCTCCACAGTCTGTTACTGTGCCCATACCTGTACAGGTGTGTCACAGCTACTGGACTACAACAGAAACACTAACAACAAACAAACTCTGTCTCCCATTATGTATTTCCACTGACCTGAGGTCTGTTCTATGAAGCAAGTTCAACATACCCAGGATAACTTTTAGTTATCTGGGTTAACTGAACCTCACATTGACCGTCCTGGATAACCTGTACTACAAAGCAGGTTATCAACTGGCTCAGTTAACCCTGGGTTTACCTGTCCATGAGCGCATTTGTGTGAAAGAGGCGGAGTTATTAATTATAAGCAACATCATCAGAACCAGGAACAAAGTACTTAATATGATATGAGAAGAAACGCTGATACCTGCAGGTAAATTTGTTTTTAACCACATCCAAAAGTGATATTAAACAAGGTGAGATGTAAACAATATGATCACATGACTGGGATGTGAAAAAAATGTCTAAATATGATTACTATTAAAGTCAGACTAAGGATATATTGTAAATAAGTGCATGAATTATCATGAAGTTTCATTTAAAATCATGTAAATATTTAACAGTATGTGTGTGTCATTGTTTTAATCAAAGACATCAGAGGTTTCGTTTTTATTTCCAGTTGTGGTTGTTCCCGTCAGGATTCTGTAGGAATGAGAATGATGACTCTGATGATGAGTTTTTCCAGTGATCTGATTGGTCAGTAGTTGGGTTGTTGACAGGTTTTGATATGATCTTCTGAAGTTAACCTGCGCAGGAGCAGGTGAGGAGTGCAGTTACCATGGTGATTTACCCCGGTAAGAAGTGAAGCACCGTCGTAGGCCAGAGTTAAACCTGAAGTTACTCACATGGAAACTTGTTTATTGTTTATAACTCAGTGAATATTTACAGACTTCTGCTCCCACAGCAACATATGCTGTTATCAACACACACAAGCAATTCTCTGTTTGTGTATGTGAGAGAGAGAAGATCAAAGTGAGTTCAAACATCAGGTGTAAACACTGAACACCTGTTTAACACTTCAACAGGTAAACATACAGACAGGTAGAGAGACAGACAGGTAGAGAGACAGACATTTAGAGACACAGACAGGTAAACAGTCAGACAGATGACACCTGATCAGAGGTCTTCTCTGACAGAAATCGTCTACTCTGAGTGACCTCAAACAACTGAGTAAAAATCAAAGGAGAGTCCTCACAGAACAACACACACACACACACACACACACACACACACACACACACACACACACACACACACACACACAAACACTCTGAACCTGACGGGTCAATATGTCCTCACTGTGCAGGAACGCCCTCAAACTGATAGTGGTCCTCACAAAGATAGATTGACACGCGCGCAGCAAAATGTTAATGTGCATGTTTCAATTAGAGACGGAGTGAGAGAGAGAGGAAGACAGGCAGAGAGAGAGACAGGTAGAAAGAGAGAGAGACAGACAGGCAGAGAGAGAGAGAGAGAGAGAGAGACAGGTAGAGAGAGAGAGATAGAGAGACAGGCAGAGAGTGAGATAGCCTACAGAAAGACACAGAGAGAGAGAGAGAGAGAGAGAGAGAGAGAGAGAGAGAGAGAGAGAGAGAGAAGAGAGAGAGAGAGAGAGAGAGAGAGAGAGAGAGACAGGTATAGAGACAGTTCTTCAGTCCCGCGCTGATTGGAGGAGCAGGACGTGAACCAGAGCTTCACATTAAGGGACTCACCGGGAGCAGCGGGTTCAACGGCGGCTCTGTGCGGAGCTGAGCGGGTTGAGGACTGTGATGAGACCGGGAGGAGACGGGTCCTGCTCCGGTAAGTTCCGCTCTGGTTGTTTGTAAATTAACGAAGTGACGGAATGAAAGCGGTTTAAACATCCTGATTCTGTTAAAGCTCGGCAGCTTCGTGTGAACTGAAGAGACACGGTAACTTGATATAGCTGCTTTTTTTTTTTAACTAATTGATGATTGATTATCATGATAAATTAAATCAAACATTCAAAAATACGTGATGCTAGAGTTATGTCAATTCATTAGTCAATAAACAGGAAATGTCTTAGCAGCTGTTTTTTGATCTATTGATGATAGAGATGATTGATCAGTAAAAGCTCCTCCGTCCTCTGAAGACAGGTGCTATCTCATCTGGATCTTTGTCTTCTGGACAAAAAAGACTTCGGACTTTTCAAACTGTTGAAGATATTTTTTTAACTAAACAATGAATCGATTAATCAAGAAAATAATCTTCAGATTAATTGATAGTGAAAACGATTATTTCATATATTGAGTTTATTACCTCAATTTGAGATCATTGTTCATGATCTAATCAATCTCTGTGAACCTCGGACTGTAAGAGTCGACAGCTGAAGACACTCAGCTCAGGTTCAGGAGTGAAACACACTGAACCAAACACAGACTCTCTTTTCCTTTTTTTCTCTTCATCTTTTCTAGAACTCTAGATCAAACTCCAAACTCAGGTGTTCTGAGATTGACAGAAAGAGTCCAGACAGATTCAATTACATTTAAACACAGAACAATCATCAGCTTGAGGATAATCAATAATCACACAGGTGATTATTGAAAAGTGTCTGACTGTCAACCTGATTCACTGAAAATCAAACTGATTGATGGATTGGTCTCTAGGTGTTCACAGCAGGATGAAAACTCTCACCTGAACATACCTCAGTATGACATCATCAGGCCCTGCCCACTCCCCCCTCCCCCACCTTCATCATCATCATCACCACATCTTACTCAGGATTGGACGAACATCCCGTCCTTCGTCCTTATGGCCCTGCCTCCTGCTCTCTCTATGGTTCTGGATTGGTGAAGAGGTGATCCAGGTGAGCGCCTCCCACCAGCACTTCCACCCCCACTCTATAAAGATACCTGGTGACATCACTCTGGGGGGGCTGTTCCCCATCCACGCTCGCGGCCCCCACGGGCTGCCCTGTGGTGAGTTGAAGAAGGAGAAAGGGATCCACCGTATGGAGGCCATGTTGTACGCTCTGGACCAGATCAACAGCGACCCTGAAGTCCTGCCCAACATCACGCTGGGGGCCCGGATCCTGGACACCTGCTCCAGAGACACCTACGCCCTGGAACAGTCTCTCACCTTTGTCCAGGCGCTGATCCAGAAAGACACATCCGACATCCGCTGCTCCAACGGAGAGCCGCCAATCATCCGCAAACCAGAGAGGGTGGTGGGCGTGATCGGAGCGTCTGCCAGCTCCGTGTCCATCATGGTGGCCAACATTCTGCGCCTCTTCGAGGTAATACACACGTGTGAATATCCAGGTAACACACAAGTAATACACCTGTGAATATACAGGTAACATGCAAGTTGCTGGTTGCTGAGCTGTACAGTAACAGATGTACAGTGTGTTTACAGAGACGTGTGTGTGGATGTTAACACACCGTGTGCAGTCATTGTGTTCATGTGGTTGTGAACAGACAGACAGGTGAACACACAGACACCATCAGTACTATCCTGTGTGGGAGTTCAGTCCAGGATCTTGGCCACAGAATCAACAGACCCAGGAGGACTGGCCATAACATGGCTTCACACCACCAGACCCTCACAGAGTCTTCTGCACAGTCCCTCAACCAGAACCCTGACCCTGAGACCCTTGATCCTCCAAGCCCTTTACAAGACCCAGCAAACGCAAGACCACCAAGTCACACTGTGAGCCCCAAACTTTTCAGACCAAGACCACTGAGACCATGACCAGTGTCCTACTGAGACCATGACCAGTGTCCTACTGAGACCACCTGACACCAACCTTTAAACTTACAATGATTTTGGGACAAGAACTGAAGGGGATCAGGACATGAACAGACATAAGACCCCAATCAGACAGACAGGTTAACAGTGAGAAAGATGAACAGACAGACAGGTGAACAATGAGACAGGTAAACAGTGAGATGGGTTAACAGACAGACAGTGAGTGGATGAAACAGTCTGGTTGCTGGATTAATGTTTTAAACAGACAGTTTGTGTCTGGATGACTGACTATCTCTAATGAAAGCTTCTAATGACTCTGTGTGCGTGTGTGTGTGTGTGTGTGTGTGTGATTTCGGCAGATTATTATATTATTATAACAGAGGCCTGTTAAAAACAGCAGAAACACTGAGGAACAGATGCATCATGGGATATTTTCAGAAGTATCTGATAACTGATCACTTCCAGTCAATACAGAGACAGATCAATACAGATATCTGTCATGTGGGTCAAGTTGATGTGAAATCTTTCATCAGGAGTGGCTCAGGTGATCAGTGTGTGTATTACATCATCATGTGATCAATCCAGACAAACACACACCAGAAACACACACTGATGTGTTGATGACCAGATCGTAGAGACTGAACAAGTTTCACTGGGGAGGTCATTTAACATCAACACACAACAACACACAACAACCACACAACAACACACAACAACACACAACAACCACACAACACCACACAACACCACACAACACAACACAACAACCACACAACACAACAACCACACAACACAACAACCACACAACACAACAACCACACAACACAACAACCACACAACACAACACAACAACAACACAACACAACAACCACACAACAACCACACAACACCACACAACACACCACACAACAACCACACAACAACACACAACAACCACACAACACACAACAACCACACAACAACCACACAACAACACACAACAACCACAAAACAACACACAACAACCACACAACACAACACAACACAACACCACACAACAACACTACACATCACCACACAACACAACCACACAACACAACAACCACACAACACAACACCACACAACAACACTACACAACACCACACAACACAACCACACAACACAACAACCACACAACACAACCCCACAACACAACAACCACACAACACAACCCCACAACACAACAACCACACAACACAACCCCACAACACAACAACCACACAACACAACCCCACAACACAACAACCACACAACACAACCCCACAACACAACAACCACACAACACAACCCCACAACACAACAACCACACAACACAACACCACACAACAACACACAACACTACACAACACCACACAACACAACACAACACCACAACACAACAACACACAACACCACAACACAACAACACACAACACTACACAACACCACACAACACAACACAACCACACGACACAACACAACAACCACACAACACAACACCACAACACAACAACACACAACAACCACACAACACAACAACCACACAACACAACAACACACAACACAACACACCACACAACACCCACACAACACCACACAACAACCACACGACACAACACAACAACACACACCACACAACACCACACAACAACACACAACACAACACCACACAACAACCACACAACAACACACAACACCACACAACACCACACAACAGCACACAACACAACACCACACAACAACCACACAACACCACACAACAACCACACGCCACACAACAACACACAACACCACACAACAACCACACATAAACCACACGACACCACACAACAACACACAACAACCACACGCCACACAACAACACACAACACCACACAACACAACAACCACACGACACAACACACAACACAACACCACACAACACAACACCACACAACAACCACACACCACACAACAACCACACGACACAACACACAACACAACACCACACAACACAACACCACACAACTACCACACACCACACAACAACCACACATCACACAACAACCACACAACACCACACAACAACAACACGACAACCACACGACAACACACAACAACCACACACCACACAACAACCACACAACACCACACGACAACCACACGACACCACATGGTCCACATGCAGGTCCAGGACCATGTGATGACAGATAGTTTCAGCTGGTACAGAATTATTCTTCTTTAACCAATCAGCAGCGACTCTGAGATCATGTGACACCATCATCAGTGTGATGGTTTAAATATGGAGAGAATCTCTGCCACGTTCAGACTCGCCCACTCTCTCACCTGCACACAGCTGACCAATCATTGACTGAGGATCTGTGATGTCACAGCATTTGATATTCAGGTTTGTTTCGCTCCACTGAAGCGTCTCTCTGACAATGATGATGATGATGATGAAGATGTCATAACGAGGTCTGCTTTTAGGAGCTTGTTAATGTGGAGTCCTTCATTAAGCTGCACGCTCACACACACGGAAACACACACACACAAACACACTAACACACAGTCTTGTGCACTAATGTGATTGTTATTCAGTTTATTGAAGCTCTGACACACATTCATGCTGTTATACAACACTAATCCTCTGTGTGTGTGTGTGTGTGTGTGTGTGTGTGTACACTTGTACTTCTATCTTTGTGAGGACCAGTGTGAGGACATGTTGGCTGCTCCTCACTCCCTCACAGGGCTGTTTTATGGTGAAGACCTGGTTTTAGGGTAAGGGCCTGGACAATGATTCATGTAAATGAGCGTCCTCACAAAGATACAAGTACAAGAATATGTGTGTGTGTGTGTGTTTGCGCATGCTCCACCACTGTTTACAGTTTGACCTGTGGTGTGTATGTGTTTGATTTGACCCTCAGCACTGACTGAAGGATGTTTGTGGACCAGACCTTGACCTATTTCTTCAGGTCCTCAGGTGGCCTCTGTGCAGGTGTTTAGTCCAACCAGTTTGATTGACAGGTTCAACCAGACAAACACACCTGAGTCCACCAGAATCTATGATTTCAACATGAATTCAAAAGCTCAGTGTTTTCTTTGTCATAAAATGTTACAGACACATTTCCTGGTTATTGATTATTGATCTGTCTCCCAGATCCCTCAGGTGAGCTATGCGTCAACAGCTCCAGAGCTCAGTGACAACAACCGATACGACTTCTTCTCTCGGGTGGTTCCTCCGGACTCGTACCAGGCTCAGACCATGCTGGACATCGTCAAAGCTCTGGGCTGGAACTATGTCTCCACGCTGGCCTCCGAGGGAAACTACGGAGAGAGCGGCGTCGACGCCTTCATGCAGATCTCCAGAGAAGCCGGTATGTTAGGGTTCTGGTTTGGTCTAGTCTGGTCTGGTCTCTTCTGTGCTGAAGACAGATTCTAAACAGCTGCCAAGCCACAGTTAGAAAACCCTGTCTCCCTCTCTCAGGCAGGGCGTTACCTGTCTGTCTCTCTCTCAGGTGAGGTGTTACCTGTCTGTCTCTCTCTCTCAGGTGATTGGTTACCTGTCCTTGCTCTCTCAGGTGGGGTGTTACCCGTCTGTCTCTCACTCAGGCAGGGTGTTATCTGTCTGTCTCTCTCTCAGGTGGGGTATGTATCGCTCAGTCTGTGAAGATTCCTCGTGAGCCGACAGATGGAGAGTTTGATAAGATCATCAGACGCCTGATGGAGACAAGTAACGCCAGAGGAGTGATCATCTTTGCCAACGAGGACGACATCAGGTAAAAACATACATCAAACACACCTGAGATCAGAGATCACATCAAGTCAAGCTTTATGTTCACATGACTCCTCCCCTCTCTTCCTGGTAGGTGTGTCCTTGAAGCGGCCAAGCGTGCTAATCTGACAGGTCACTTCCTGTTTGTGGGGTCAGACAGCTGGGGGGCAAAAAGTTCACCAATCACAGAGCTGGAAGATGTGGCAGAGGGCGCGGTCACCATCCTCCAGAAACGAGCGTCGATAGACGGTAAAAACAAAAACACTGTGTTACTGTCTGTAACTGTTTATTACTGTGTATCTGTCTATGTGTTACGTGGGTGGCAGCATCTGGGCACATAGTTGAAGCCAAGGGGCAAAAAGTCTCAGCTCACCTTTATTATTATTATTATTATTATTATTATTATTATTATTATTATTATACAGATAAACCTGCTCTCTCACTGGGCAGGCAGAGAAGTCATGACCAGGTTGACCTCAGATGGACAGGAACTGGAGTCAAACAGGCCTGACCTAATTCACAGTCTCTGTCTCAGTCCCACTCTCAGGACTCAGGACTCAGGAGTGGCTGCAAACATGCAGGACCTGACATTGTGTGTTACTGAGTGTGTTGTTGTGTGTCTGTTCTCCAGGCTTCGATCAGTACTTCATGTCTCGTTCTCTGGAGAACAACCGCAGGAACATCTGGTTCGCTGAGTTCTGGGAGGATGACTTCAGGTGTAAACTGACCCGACCTGGAATCAAACTGGACCCTGACAAGAAGAAATGTACAGGTATAGCCACACCTGTGGGGGCAGGGCCTGCGTGTTGAGGTGGGCCTAACAGACAGATTAAGTGGGATGTCATGTGACATGGTGTGTGTCCCTACAGGTGAGGAGAGGATCGGTCGGGACTCGTCCTATGAGCAGGAGGGGAAGGTCCAATTTGTGATCGATGCGGTTTACGCTGTTGCTCATGCTCTGCACAGCATGCACCAGGACCTGTGTCCGGGCAGCTCCGGAGTCTGCGGCAATATGGACCCTGTGGAGGGACGCTCACTGCTCAACTACATTAGATCCGTCAACTTTAATGGTAAGAAAACCCCCTGAAAAATAAAAATATACATTAGAGCAACATCTGAGATGTAGCACCCCACCTGGAACAGGGAAACCAGCGCCCCCCTCCTGAACTTGAGGAGGAAAGCTCACTGGTGCGCGTCTGTTGGCCAGGCCTTGATGAGCGGGCCCTGGTCAGACACAGCCCCACAGTTACATTGTGCTGCCACCCAATGGACCCACCACCTTCAGAGACTGGCGTCACCCTTGCCATTGTTAGCTGGTTCTTAGGAAAAGGAATATCACCCACTGGGACCCAGAGGTGGTGCAGGAGGCGGACCTGTACCAACCAGGTATAACTGGGCTCAGTTCTACTCACAGGACCAACTCTGGAAACCAATCTCTGGAGGGATGTGGTGGTACTCAGGTGTCCCGAGAGCTGCTGTGTTGTGATGTCTCCTCAGAGTAACACTGTCTCAGTGCTCCATACTTTTACTGGAGGATTTCAACCCGTGGGTAACAATGGACAAACCTGGAGGGAGGAAGGGTCTGATGTGAACCTGAGTGGTGTTTTGTTATAATTGAGCCAAAGATCAGTGATCAACTTTGTGGTGATTTCATCTCCTGTCAGCAGGATCTTAAAATCCCACCTTCAGAGGTATGTCCCATTTGCCCAGGGGAAGGCTGGCAACATGAAGTCTGGGACAGCTGCTCAGAGTTGCGGTCAGAGTGTCATTGGTGTCTGTTGTGGCGACAAGTGAAGAACCTGCTGGTGGACACCAGAAGTGAAGGAGTCCTTTCAGGTTTGAATGGTTCAGGAGACTCCTGGAGCAACAGACAGGTATCAGGAAGTCAGAAGTACTGCAGTCTCAGTGGTCACCAAAGCAAAAAAACTCAGCTGTGGATGGAGTTCAGGGTGAAGGGCTTTCAATCATCCTCAAGGTTCTGGCTCTGAACATTCATCAGATGAGCCGAGACGGGAGGTGAGGCTTGGCCCAGAACTGTTGACTTGGACTGAGGATATTATTGGACAGTCAAAGGAGAGCCTGACTGACACGTCCTCCAGAGAAAGCAGATTCTTTCTGATGACTCTAGACTTGAGTCCTGGTTGTTTTCTGGAGGTCTGGGACAGTAACTGTGGAATGGAGGTTGTGCTCTGCTCCACTTCCTTGGGAAAGCTTCTGTCAGATGTGGATTCTGTCCTGGTCCTGGATCAGTAGACCAGCTGTTTACTCTCGTAGGGATCCAGCAAGGGTCAAGGCAGTTTGTCCATCCAGTTTACATGTGGTCTGTGGACTCGGAGAAGGTTTCTGACCTTACCTGTTGGACTCTACTGGGTTGCCCCTGTCCCAGATTCAGTTTGTGGTTTTCATGAACAGGATCTGAAGTGGTAGTCGAGGTGTGGAGAGTGTTGGTGTGGTGGCCTCAGGATTGTATCTGTGTGGTTCTGTTGGTTTCATCAGACTGGGACAGTTTACAGCTCAGTGAGAAGCAGCTGTACGAGAGTCAGGACCGCCCAGTATGAGGTCCTGGTACTCTGCTGGAAACCAGTGGATTGTGCATTTCAGGTCAAGTCACTGCCCCAAGTGAAGGAGTCCAAGTATCTCAGGGTCTGGTGCACTAGTGAGGGTCAGATGATGGTGAGATAAAAAGATGGCCTGGTTCAGAGTCAGCAGTGATATGGACTGTTGTGGTTCAGAGGGAGCTGCTCTTGAAGGAGATTACTCTGGACTCACCAGGGGATCTCTGTTCCAGTTCTCTGTTGTGGTCCTGGTCTCGGAGTAGTGTCTGAAACAATGAGATAGTGGACTCAGTCTGGGAGACTGGGCTCAGAGATCCAGGACAAGGAGGAGGAGAACCACTGCTCCTCCATGTAGACAGGCTTTCCAGGCATGTCCAACTAGGAGGAAGCTCAGGGGTAAGCGCCAGAACATCAGAACAAGCTTGAGAGATTTAATACCTCATCTTGCCTGCAAACATCACACTTGTTGAGGTTAATTCACCTGGATGTCATCTAACAGTCGGTACAGTCCAGGTGTGAATTGAGATTGTATTGTAAGAGTCAGAGAGTCTTCAGACACTTTGTTCAGTCGGTTTAAAGTCCATCAGGACAAACCAGAACCGTTCAGGCCAGGATGAGGTTTTCAAAGATTTTCAAAGCAGCGGAACAAACTGCAGCAGCTTCATCCTGTGAGACATCAAATCCATATTTTATTAAGACGAGAAGCTGCAGCAGCTGGAAGAGTGAGAGTATTTAATCTGTAAGAGCCAGAACTGCACGCCATGAAACCGGTTTGTCCCTCTGCCTGTCTCACTGACTGCTCATCTCGCTACACGAGTCCTCGACTTCTCCGTTGGCTGAATATTTACCAGTTCAGTAGATGTGTGTTTGTAGTTAGGATGTTGCTGTATTTTGGGAGTTTGACTTTAATGAACTTCACATTTGCTCAAAGAGAACAGATGGAAACCTTAACAAGGACATCAGGACTAAGGCTGACACCGGTGGCCTGACAACTGATGGTCAGGCGGCTGGTGTTTCAGCAGCTTGTTGGTTCTTAGTCAACAGATCCTCTGATTTTAGGGTAAAACAGTCCGTCAACTACGTTGTCAGTTAATATTATTATTAGTTTATTAGTTAGATTATTGGTTAATAGTCTCTAAAAGAAGCTGGGATTGAACATCAAAGATAATATAAAGGTCTGTTTAACTGTAGTAAAGAAAGAAATGTCCAACACTTTGGTTTATGATCAGATACCTGCAGAACTAATGAGATTCCCATCAGCCTCAGCTGGATGCTGCGTTTACTGCTGACCATCTAATGTTAGCATGCTCACATGCTAACTAGTTTCTTTGAAGCAGACTGATGTATGTAAATGTCACAGTTTACAGACAAATCAAGACGCTGTTCTGTTCAGTTCTGGTTCTGGTTCAGTTCCGTTCTAGTTCAGTTCTGATGTGGTTCAATTCTGTTGTGGTTCAGGTACAGGTCTGAGCAGCAGGTTGGTCACAGCAGGTTTTTCTTTATTTAGAGAGATAATAAGTTAATGCACTTTGCATGTTTCCTCTGAGGACACTGTGTGTGTGTGTGTGTGTGTGTGTGTGTGGTGTGTGTGTGTGTGTGTGTGTGTGTGTGTGTGTATGTGTGTGTTAATAATTAAAGTGAGCAGCTGCTGAACACTGAAAGAAGAAGAAGAAAACATCCCTCACATGTTTTTATTCACATTAAAAGAAGAGAGATAAAACGTGTAGAAGAAGACGTTACTGATGAACTGAAATCTCTGATATTTGATTTAAATAGTCTCACTTTAGCCTGTCTGTCTCTCTGCCTGTCTCTCTGCCTGTCTACTTGTCTGTCTGCTTACCTGTCTGTCTGTCTTTCTGTCTTTCCATCTACTTGTCTGTCTGTCTGCCTGCCTGTCTGTCTGTCTGTCTGTGTCCAACAGGAAGTGCAGGTACAAGTGTTTTGTTCAATGAGAATGGAGATGCTCCCGGTCGCTACGACATCTTTCAGTTTCAGATGACCAATCACAGCCACCCCGGATACCGTGTAATCGGCCAATGGACCAATAACCTGAGACTCAACGTAAGAAGCTAATTGGACAAAACAGACACATGAAAAACAAAAAACATTAAATGACATCAGCTGGTTTTTAGTCTGTCTCACGCTAAGTCACTGTCTGTTTCTACCTGTCTCTCTCTCTCTCTCTCTGACCCGTCTCTCTCTCTCTCTCTTTACCTGTCTCTCTGTCAGCTGGATGAGATGCAGTGGTCCGGAGGAGATAGATCAGTTCCTGAGTCCATCTGTAGTTTTCCCTGTAGACCAGGAGAGAGGAAGAAGATGGTGAAGGGTGTCCCCTGCTGCTGGCACTGTGAGGTAAAACATCGCCATGAAAACACCTGACAACTGAAACAGAGCAGAAACAGACCAGCTGTAGTCCAGCTCCTCAGAGGGTCAGTGGTTCTGGTTTCAAACGGTGGCTTTGGACTTTTAGTCTTAATGGTTCAGATATTACTGTCTCACTCTCTGGGGCCCCCATGACAGGAGACATTGCGAGACAGGCTGAGTGATAGTCTGAGTGACATGATCACATCTATCCTCATGATGTCATACTACCACTGATAATCCTGAAGGAAAGATCTGTTTTTCTCCCTGACCTATCTGTCATTGTCTGTCTGTCTCTCTCTCTCTTTGACCCGTCTCTCTGACCTGTTGGTCTCTCTCTCTCTGACCTCTCTGTCTCTCTGACCTATCTCTCTCTTACCTGTCTTTCTCTCTGACCTGTCTGCAGCTCTGTGATGGGTATCAGTACCAGCTGGATGAGTTTACCTGTGAGACATGTCCGTCAGACATGCGCCCTGTCCCCAACAGAACCGCCTGTCGTCCGACCCCGATCATCAAACTGGAGTGGAACTCCCCCTGGGCCCTTGTTCCCGCCTCCCTCGCCATGCTTGGTATCCTAGCAACCAGCGCTGTGGTGATCACCTTCATCCGCTTCAACGACACGCCCATTGTCAGGGCATCAGGAAGGGAGCTCAGCTATGTACTTCTGACAGGTGAGTTCTACCGGCAGTTGAGTACTGCTGACAGGTAAATACTGACAGGTACTACGGCAGGCCAAAGACAGTAACAGGCAGAGAAACCAGGGCTGAAGGGAGCACAGGCAGCTGCATAGACTGGTGAGATGGGACCACAGGTGTACCGGGCAGTGGCTGGAAGAGACCAGCAGGGAGCTCTTGTGCCAGGACCATTAAAGGTGATGTCTGACTCTTTCGGTCATTCAGGTCGAGGGAAGGTTTCTCAACTTGTAGTTGACATACTCCTCAAAACTTTTCCAGAGAGAAACCCAACTGTTCCCACCATGATCAAGCACAAACCAGACTTAAACCAGGGTTAAACCAGATTCAAACCAGATTTAAACTAGATTTAAACCATGATTAAACCATTCATATTCACACAGGGATTTGACTCAGCAGGTTAAAACCAGGTCTGGTTTCCTGATGATAGAAATGATGACATCGCCTTCCATTCTGTCTGTCTGCAGGTATCTTCCTGATCTACCTGATCACATTTCTGATGATTGCGGAGCCAGGTGTGGTGGTTTGTGCGTTCCGGCGCCTCCTGCTGGGCCTTGGCATGGCCATCACCTACTCTGCCATGTTGACCAAAACCAATCGCATCTACCGCATCTTTGAACAGGGCAAGAGGTCGGTGACACCGCCCAAATTCATCAGCCCCACGTCCCAGCTCGCCATCACCTTCATCCTCATCTCCGTCCAGGTGAGAGCACAAGGGTCACATGACCTCCTAATACTGACTGCAGCAGCTCATCACATGACTCAGGTTCATCTGTCCGTGTATCTGTGTGTGTTTGTGTCAGGTCCTTGGTGTGTTTGTGTGGTTCGCCGTCATCCCCCCTCACACCACCATCGATTATGAGGAGCTCCGCCCCCCAAACCCTGACCTGGCCCGAGGCATCCTGAAGTGTGACATGTCCGACCTGTCAATCATCTGCTGCCTCAGCTACAGTATCGTGCTCATGGTAACGTATTGATTAAGTATTGATCTGTTATTGCCGATCTGTCATTTATCTGTGACAGAGAACTTGTATGAAATGTTGTAGAAGTCTGTACTGTCTGTGTTGCCAGGTAACCTGTGCTGTTTCTGTTGCTAGGTGACGTGTACGGTGTATGCGGTGAAGAGCCGTGGTGTCCCGGAGACGTTTAATGAGGCAAAGCCAATCGGTTTCACCATGTACACCACCTGTATCGTCTGGCTTGCCTTTGTACCAATCTTCTTTGGTACCGCCCAGTCCACAGAGAAAGTAAGAGCCAGCCCAACACCAGGAGAGACTGGAGTACCATGCTGAACCAGACCAGAGTCAGACTGGATCAGGGTTGTACAAGTGCTGAGTAACAGTCCGCTGAACTTGTTTTAGACTCTTTTTTTGACTTCATTTCATATCCGACAGTCCAGAGACAGTAAACGGGTGGGGGAGGGGTATGCAACAAATGTTCTCCCAGCCAGTAACTGAACTGTGGTCCCCCCTAGTGGACGCACCGATCACATGGCTCACACCCCAACCACTAGACACCCTGTTTGAGATCCTTTCTGGTCTCATACTGAATTCTTCTTAAAGCAGAACTTAACAGTAAATCTGGGGATTCAGCTGTTTCTGCTCTAAATGAGACAATGTGTGTCATCTGGCCCGTCTCCAACTCTGATGACATAGACAAGACTCTGTTGTCTTCATTGAGCCCACTTAACTGGGGTAACAGATGCAGGACCCAAACGGCAAGTTCAACCAACAAGAAACAGGACTCAGAACAGAGGAGCAGTAGGACAGATAGATTCAGGTCCACAGAGAACGTGAAGACCTGGAGTAGGGAAAAGAAAAATCAATTAGGGAATGGGAAACAGGAAGAAACAGGCGGCTGGGTGTGAACAGTCAGAGCCTCTCATACAGTCCATCACTGCTGGTGGTGTGATCAGTAACTGAGGCACCATGTCATACATGAAGGAGATTTATGACCACAACACAATTTACTGAGTGGATGAGAAATGAGCTGCGTGTGAACACAGTAGAAACATGGTGAACTCAGAGTCACAGACAGTTTAGTTTCCTGTGAGGAGAAAATAAATCAGTGAGTCAGTTCAGTGTGAGTTCAGGGAGGGACAACAGATACACAACAGCAGAATTAGACACAAAGTGCAGTCATTTCCAGGCAGAGAGGAACAGATGGATTATACAGATTATAATCCAACACAGGATGTCATTATAGAATAATAACTTCGTTAAAACCACTGTTACAAAGAGCTTCAGCAACTAGATAAAAAGAGACAATAAAGCCAGAAATAACACGAAGAGAAACAGCAGCATCAGACTGAAACACAAGAGATTTAACCAGAAGAGCAAAGAAAAGAAAATAATTAACAGATGATTCATCTCCATGTGTCTGGTTCTGCCATTTAGATTATCAATTTATAGATCATTTAATATCAGTTTATAGTTAATTTAATATTAGTTCATAGATCGTTTATATCAGATAATTTAATATCAGTTTATAGTATTTATATTGATCAGGTGTTCAGCTGATGGTATCTCTGGAAATGTACAAAGATATTTCACCTCTCAGAAGCTATTCCACCCCGAGGACACAGCAACGAGGAATATACAGAGAAAACAGCAGCTCTATCATAGGGAAGAGGAATCCCAGGAATCCTGGAAAGAGAGGGAAAGAGAGAGAAGTAATAACTAGAATTAGAATTAAAATCATAGGAAATCCTCCTCCTGCTTCTCTGTGATAAGATTCAGTCCCCTTTCCTCATTTCTTCTGTTTGAGTCTCAGAGTTGAGGAGCATCACAGAAAATAAAAGAAGGGAAGAAGTATGTTTTCTATCTGAAAAGGACAGAACAAACACAGAGCTGCAGGAGGATTAACACTCAGAGTGTGTGTTGAGGTTTTTACAGCTATGTAAGACATGTAGGAGTTCTGCTATTGTCTAATGGCTTAGCAGACACACACAAACTTAAATCCCTATAATAAAGAAACACAATGGAAACAGGCAGCAGTCTGTGTGTGTGTGTGTGTGTGTGTGTGCGTGTGTGTGTGTGTGTGTGTGTGTGTTCTGTGAATCACCAGCATTTGTTGTGTTTGTTGTACAGACAGGTGACTTATTGAAGCAGAGGGATCGCCATCTCATCATGATGGAGGGATGTTTGTGTCTCTATAACCCTGGGGTCTGTGTTGTTGGAAACAAGGAACAGCAAAGGCAGAACTTAAATGCACAACAGTTCCTTTAGGTGGAGGTTAGGTTCTAGAGGTTACTGGGGAAATTCTACAGGTGGTTCAAGTCGTCAATGGTGTCACATGCTACGGAGCACTGGAGCTGTTCTGTAAATATTAACAAGGTCCTACTAGTTCTTCAGGAGGTTCTTCCTCACTGTGTCTATCTCTGTCTCTTCAGATGTTTATCCAGACGGGCACCCTGACTGTCTCCATGTCTCTCAGTGCGTCTGTCTCTCTTGGGATGCTCTATATGCCGAAGGTTTACGTGATCATTTTCCATCCTGAGCAGAACGTCCAGAAGAGGAAGAGGAGCTTCAAGGTCTCAACTCAGCTTTACTGTGTCACCTGTTGATTGCTGTGTTGTTGTGGTGCCCTACAGTTGCTGTGTTGCCCTACAGTTGCTGTGTTGCTGTGTTGCAGGCTGTTGTCCAGGCTGCCAGATTGTCTCAGAAATCTTCAAGTGAGAAACAAAACGGAGAGACAAAGATTGAACCTGACAGAACGCAGTAATACTGCATTAATACTAAGTAATCCTACAGACTACAGGTACTGAAACACCACAGTACACACTGATACACACAGATCAACAAATAAAACCACAGTAAAAACATTCACTTCATCTACACCGCTTTGGTCCAGACCAAAAATCTCAACAACTGTTGGATGGATTGTGATAAAATGTGGTTCGGACATTCATGTTGCACTAAAAGATGAACTGTAAAAACTTTGGTGATCCTCTGACATTTCATTAGATTAACATTTCAATTTCTCCAATACATTTGATTTATGACCAAATAACTGCAAAACTACTGACATTCTCATCAGCCTCAGTTGTATGCTGTAGGCTCTCAAGAGTTAGAGCCTGGTTTACTCAGAACTGAGGCTGAGTCACTGTAGGTCTTTATTATTTTTTATTCAGTCTGATGATTGACAGTTTTTTTTATGTCCTTGTCCGGTGAGGTTATGTCCCTATATGGTCAGTAGGTGAGTTTATGTCCTTATATGGTCAGTAGGGGAGGTTATGTCCTTATATGGTCAGTAGGCACACTTTCTGTATATGACCTGTGGGTGGACCTAACATGAATAGGATGTGATGAATCCTGACTTTTGGAAGCTGCTGCAGATATTTATAGAGATTCTGATGAATATTTCAGCTGCTGGTTAATGATTCATGTGTATGTTAACAGTGTAGTTGCTCTGTGTCCTCTCAAGCAAGGCACTAACACTGCAGGGTGATGGTTCAATTCTTTTTAGAATAGGCTTTTAGAATAATAATAATCATAATCATCCACATCGTTATTACATTATGTTATCACAGAGAGACAGGTACAGAAAGATAAACTCAGGTACAATCAAGTCAGTCTCTTACAATCAGATATAGACAGGTACACTCAGGTCAGTCAGCTATAGTCAGGTCAGTCAGGTACAGTCAGGTCAGTCAGCTATAGTCAGGTCAGTCAGGTACACTCAGGTCAGTCAGCTATAGTCAGGTCAGTCAGGTACAGTCAAGTACAGTCAGGTCAGTCAGGTACAATCTGGTACAGTCAGGTCAGTCAGGAACAGTCAGATACAGTTAGGTCAGTCAGGTACAGTCAGGTAGAGTCAGATATAGTCAGGTCAGTCAGGTACAGTCAGGTCAGTCAGGTACAATCTGGTACAGTCAGATATAGTCAGGTACAGTCCGGTATAGTCAGGTACAGTCAGGTCAGTCAAGTCAGTCAGATACAGTCAGCTATAGTCCGGTATAGTCAGGTACAATCAGATACAGTCAAGTCAGTCAGGTCAGTCAAGTACAGTCAGGAACAGTCAGGTACAGTCAGATATAGTCAGGTCAGTCAGGTACAGTCAGGTACAGTCAGATATAGTCAGGTCAGTCAGGTACAGTCAGGTACAGTCAGATATAGTCAGGTCAGTCAGGAACAGTCAGATACAGTCAGGTCAGTCAGGTACAGTCAGGTATAGTCAGATATAGTCAGGTACAGTCAGGTCAGTCAGGTACAGTTAAGTACAGTCAGGAACAGTCAGGTACAGTCAGATATAGTCAAGTACAGTCCAGTATAGTCAGGTATAGGTGTTTACAGCTGTGTTGAAGTTGAGGTTAGGCCCCAGGAGTTTGTCTTCAAATCTGAATCTGGACTTGATGATCTATGTATGACTGTTTTACTATGTATTGCTGCTGCTAAAATAGATAGTGAACCAGATCAAAGTGGCTCAGATTAAAGTGTGATCAATAACAGCTGTTGATTCTCTTGAGGAAGGCACTGAACCTTCAGTTTGTGGAAGCACACCTGATGGTTTTATTCTCTCTTCTCAGATTGCTGCCGACCAATCCCTGTACAGAGCCTGATGACATCATCGTCAGGAAGATCACATGGCTAAACACACACACATAAACACTGATTGATCTTCAAGATAAAACTATCCACTGGACTTTAATTGTGAAAATCTGGAGTTTTCAGACAGGCAGTTCTCAGAAGGATGTATTGTCATCACAACAAAGTGAAAGAGTGAAACTGATCAGAGGTTTGTACAGTTTGACTCTGAGCGCTGTGTTCAGGTGACAGCATGAAGCTCTGGTGTTCAAATGTTCAGTCTCATTAACATGCAGATAAACTGAAACTGAACCAACAAAAAATGTACATCTTTGTTGAGAGAGAAACCAGAGGAAGTCTATGACACCACCTGTTCCCCACCTACAACCTACTGTCCTTTCCTCCTTTGCCAGGAAATTTAACAACCATTCACACTTGGCCTCATATGACTCCAAAAACTCTGAGAGGCTAGATACCTGGGTCTCCTCACCAGTCAGCCAGAACTGAAGAAGCCTTGGATGAGAGGTGAAACGTCTTAAAGTATCTACAACCAGGTCCGGTTGCCCTCGATTCAACTTTTTTTTGGATAATTCATTCAACTTCAACCAAACATCTCAAGACAAACATCTCAAGACAAACGGCTCATTAAAACAGGAGGAGAGGTTAGGAATATGATTGTTCAGCGGTTGAAAAGTGTAGTGCCAAAGGAAAGTGCTGTTTTCACGGGAAGATAAACAGGTGAAAAGATTCTACATGAAGCGTACATTTAAACGGATATTGGATACATACGGATATATATCTTTTTTTCATGGTCCCGTGCACAGCAACACATAACTCTGTCACACTCAGTCAGGAATCCTGTCAGATTAAAGAATCTGCGTTCAGTTCAAATGAAGCTATATTAGTTATTACGTAGTTTTTTAGTGTGATAAACTCTCCTCTGTTTGTTAGAAGCTCTGTTTTAAAACCTGAGTGGACGCTTGGAAAGACTCAAATAGCAAAACCATACAGTGATTTATACAAACATTACTGATCTTTATTATTTATCACTTAATTGTAAACTGTTTTGTTCATCGCAGGAACCTGTGGAAATGATGACTCAGTTTTTCCCCTGATAAAAGAATATAGATGTCCTGATCTAAATTTACAGACCTGTGGTGTACGTGTGTTGTTACCATGGTAATAGGGGTCCTCTCTGATTGGTCAGGGGTGTAGTAAAGTTGCTGACAGAGAGGAGTATCTTTGAAACCTGGGGCATGTTCAGCCTCGACAAAACACTCATTTACACAGAAACGGTGGCGCATTGAACACTCTGTTGTGTCACACATGCACGCTGGTGTTTATATACACGTCTGCTGATTGGATAAAACCTCGGACACACCCACCATACGTTCAGACTGGACGTGCCCCTGAACCGAATCAAACTGAACCAGCTAATGTGATCACAGAATCTTAACCAATCAGGAGTCGGACACAGCTTTGTATGGGCGGAGTCTAACACATGGACCAATCACAGCAGGTGTGTTCAGATGGTCTTCTGTCAGAAACAGGACATTCAGAAACAACTTTTAACCTAAAGCTCCTCCTGTGCTGCAGCTGCATCACTGCTTTTAAACCTCCTCATTTGTTCATTCAATTATTCATTCATTCATTCATTCATGTTCAGTTTGGTTCAGACACGATTTAATATTTCAGGCAGAAAAGCTGATGAAGTGTGTCTGGATGGTCAGTGAAACTGGCTGCAGCTTGTCCAGGATCAGAGTCTGAGCTGTGTGTGTGTGTGTGTGTGTGTGTGTTTTCATTTTGAGCAAATTCAGATCGTTAAAAAATCATTCCAGACTGGGTTGTTTAAATTCTCCGTACGATCAGGTTACACTCTGTCAATCATGTGACCCAAACCTCTAAACTCAGGATGAAGTGTCAAGAAGTCAAATTAGATCTGCAAATACTGTATGGTAGTTCAGTTGTTTATAAGATGTGTCTTATTATTATTATTATTATGATTATGATTTGCTTCCACCAAAAACCAGTATGATCCCAATCTTTTCCAGCCAGAGTCAGATCCTGATCCTGATTTAAGAAGTTCAGTTTTTATTTTGAAAACAACTCAATCTCTGGAAATCACCAACAAAACACATCAAAGGTCCATTTAGTATGCAGCTGTTATAAAGCTTTCGATCTCTTGTCATTATCCTCTATTGATTCCAACTGGACAACTCCATCTGAGGAAGATCATGTCATATGAATTGAATGCTCATGAACAGCTACTGAGTTAATTCTGAGTTAGTAATTAAATCAGTAGAAGAAGAAAAACTATAGAAGGAGAAAGATGAGTGATTTCTGTCTGAATGACATATTATTCAGACAAGGTGAACAGGAAGTGGTATCTTTCACAATAAAAGGGTCCTTACAGAGACAGAAGAATCCTAGTCTGTAGTTTTTCTGCTGCCCTGCTCACAGGCATGTCTGCAGCTGCAGGTACAACCCTCAGTTTCCTGTCTGTAAGGAGACAGATTAATTTCAATTAGATATTGAAAAGTTATATAATAACATCAATATGTTTTTCTTTTTTTATTCTTGTGATGACCTGTTGACCCCTCAGATTTATCTGAGACCCTATAAAGGGTTGTGATGCTCAGGTTGGAAACCATTGTGTCAGACAACAGTTTGTTTCAAAACTGAATCACTGCACTTTCACTTTAAAATCCCATTGATTTACACATTAATAATGATATTAAGGTATTCTTACTAAGATTGATTACAGTTATCTGCATGGTGTAAGGGGTTTCAGTGTAAAAAATAATCAAATAAAATGAAAGCATCCCTTAATTATACCTTAAAAGATCTTAATAAAAAATAATTTTTGGATGTGTTAATGTTTTGTGTTACGTTTTAAGTGTTTTTAATGGGTCCAGCCTACTGTTATGAGGATATTTTTAAACTGCTGAGAAAAAAAACAATCTCTCACCCTTTAAATTGAACTTGTTAGGTAGACAGCAGGTTGTAAGATACCAAACTCCTCATGAACTTAAAATAAGATGAAATTAAATAATTAAGGTATATTTTATTACCTCTTTCCTGTTTCAACACAAAGATCATAGAAAAAGCAGATTCATGATCATTGTGTCATGTGTTCACCTGTCCACATATTTCTGTCCATGTGTCTATGTTTTATATTTCTGTGTATTTCTAACGTTG